CTCTCTCTATGTACAGTATATAACTCCTGTCTATATGTACAGTATATAACTCCTGTCCTATATGTACAGTATATAACTCCTGTCTATATGTACAGTATATAACTCCTGTCTATATGTACAGTATATAACTCCTGTCTATATGTACAGTATATAACTCCTGTCCTATATGTACAGCTAGTTAAGAAACATAGCCACTACTTATTTTGAATTGCGTATATTGTGTGTGCTCTTACCACCTGTCTGTGCGCTGCAACAACGACATTTCCCCACTGTGGGCCGAGTAAAGGAACTCTTATCTTAAAACATAAACTACATTTACTCGTATGACTATGTTTTGTTAATAAAGAATTGAATTGAGTTGAATTTAGTAAACTAGCTCCTGCAGCACTGTACACAGAACACACATAGAAAGTTCGAGAGGTCAGAGGTCACATTTTTTTCACAGTAGCCAATGAAAATCCACCAACCAACTATAGCAACACATATATTAAACTAAAATACCACAAATCACATTATTGCGTATTCCTATATGTTTTCTTCTCTATTTAGAATCAGAGCGAGAAAGCTGAGGAGGCTGGATGTGTGGAAAACAGTTTTGTTATGTTCTGGCAGAATAGAGCAGAGTTAAAAATAGTTGCTGAGACTTTATCGACTCGCAGCCAATATCTTTCTTTTCAACTCATCAAGGCGACTTGTCCCGGTGCTTTGTCTTTCCCCGATTTAAAACCCGGGTCAGAAGAGACGAGAAAACCAGAGTGCAGGCGTCCATTCTGAAATCAATATGTAATGTATGTCTGGTGCATATTGGAAGAGATGGTTGTTTCTCTGCCTGCTTCTACGTGTCGGCCTCACAATTCAAAAGAGTAGATTATAGATAAAACAGGGACAAGTCAAATACATCAGAGGACAAAACAACAAATTTGCAACAAGGTCTGAGGTCCGGACTGGTTCAATGTTTATTAAATCATAGTAAAAGGATGCATATAACTTTTTGAACCGAGACCTGACAAAGTGGACCGTATTTTATATTAAGATTAAATGAATAATCCCATATTTTTGTATGGCTCTGTCAGGCTCACAGATAAAAACAAACTTCCTTCAAAGAGAAAACATGTCCGGAATATTAAATAAAAACAATCCAATATTTTCTCATGGCTCTGCGCGGACCGGTTCTATTACTAGTCAAATATCATCCCGGGGGACAAGATTGTTCATTTGCGGGCCGTAACTGGCCCCCGGGCCTCGACTTTCACACCCAGGATGTAGCCTTCAGTGGAGAAATGTCATTGTTGCACATTGCAGCAGAATAAAAGGAGGAAAGAAGAGAACTCAGGTTTCACACATCTAACAGAATTATTATTTAAGATCATAGATAAGATCAAATGATCAGATAAGTCGCTTGTGTATACAACCTATACCAGCATCAGAAAGTATTTACAGATGTTTATATTGTACTTTAGCAGAGTAAACAATAGTAGAAAAAGCAGCAGGTAAAATGAACAGTGAATTATCAGACGAATAGATTATATAATGATGTAGTAATAATATATTTTAGCAGGTAAAGTAACCAGTGTGTTATCAGAGCAGGTGACTGTCTACAGACTCAGCAGTTCTCATCGTACAGTCTGACAGCAGCAGGAAGTAAACAGCCGGAGCCTCTCCATCACACAGCGAGGGTGAGTAAGTCTGAATCATAACAAAAATGTGAAAATGTATACTATAGGACGCCATTTTACGCAGTTTGAAGACACAGACCTTTCCCGAAGCTTACCTCGTCCCGACAACGTACCCCGGGCCATTTTTTTGGGCGCACGGTACAGGCCTGGTGCAAAGGTGAAGATGGAGAACAAAAAGGAGTCGGCGTGCCAGAGGAAGAAGAGGAGGCGAAAAGAGGAGGTGAGGGCAATGAGCTGCATTCAATGCCATCTGACAGGTCCAGCTGGGAGTGTGCCCACCCTGCAGCACCGCAAAAACCCCTCAATATGGACGCCAATTACTGCTGCCCGTGCGACCGTGACACGGCGACATCATCGGACCTACTCTCCCTCTCCATCTTTCCACCGGCCCTCCCTTCCCAATCTCACCTAAAAAAAGAATTAGATAGATATACATAGATTTTCCTACCATCTGTGCGAGACTGACGGCAACGCAAAACTCACACACACAAACAACACTAAAGGACTTCATTGTCAGACATTTTGGATGGCGGGAAATAGTACAAACATGGGCTATTGTTCGACAGATGCGGAGGAATTCGGCCCCATGTTTTTACGCAGTCCTGGGCGTGGTGTTGGAGTTGGCAGTGTCAGAATAGAGAGACAGCAGCGTGGCAACACAGGAAGGCGCTGGCACGGTCCTCACGGTGGCTGCTGCAGTGGAGGTGGGCCCAAATTTAGCAAAATGAATGGGCTTTGATATTTTTTGCGTGCGTAGTGTCTTTAATGATCACAAGCAAACCCAAATGGAAATGAAAGTAACATCTGAGTGCGGTTTGTAGAACGCAGCGGAGCCAAAGTGGAGGATGAAAACAAGGCATGGGCAAATACAACCACAGAATGAGACAAAATAAGTGAGTTTGGAATGTGAAATATACTTCCGGGATAAAAGGACATGTTGGATAAAATAATGTAAATGTACACTTTGTCTGGCTATTCATTGAAAGACAGTGACCTGCTCTTCTCTACTGTTTTACACTGAGACTTAATGAATATTTTTTGAGGATAAAAAATGACACACACTTATTTTTGACAGTCGTCCATATTCCAATGACGATGCCAAGATGTTTAATAAATAATACAGAATTATGTCATTGCGTTAATCCATCCTGCCATCCATCCATTTTCTACCCTTATTGCGTTAATCCACAATAATAATTAATCCTCTAAATGTTTTCTGTGATCAGAGACACTGCGACGGTCCAGATGGTGAGAGGGATTTAGGCCCGGCTCCTTGGGGCCAGGGTGGCACTTGTTGTGTGTGTAACTTTAGTGAATCCTTTGATTATTTGTGCAGAAGACCCAGGACTATTTTATTACTGGAAGAACAGTTTTTCATGTTTAAAAATGTTTAATTTATTGAATCAATTTGATACTAAATGGTTAGAGTCTTATTGGTTCAATATGTGTTATCATGGATATGGGCCTATTTAATAATGATAGTTATGATAATAATAATAATAAAAATAAGTGTATCTGTTATTATAAAATCTCTATTTTGTGTAATTAAATTGTATCAAGATTGTGTGTGTGCCTTTATATCTGTTTTACTATTTTATAACTTGTTTTCACCAAGAGCTGCAGAGCTATTTTTGTGACTTCCTCTTTCTTACATAGACAAATTATTGTTATTATCTTGATTATTTTTAAGTTACAACAAGAATATACTTTTTAAAGACAATCTTTTTGTTTTTTGTGAAATGCAGTCGGAGGCTGGACATTGGGTTTTCTAACAGCCCGGTGTAATGAACAGATGCTGCTGAATTAGGAAAGAAATACATGGTCCCTCCCACAAGGGCCGCGCTGGCAGGAGCCGCCTGTGCACGTGCCGCATCTGGCACCGGGCTCCACGTCTCTGCGGCTCCACGGCTCGGAGGGTCTGTGGCTCCACGGCTCTGCGGCTCTTTGACTCTGTGGCTCCACGGCTCTGTGGCTCTGCGGCTCTGCAGGGGGTGCTCCTGCTGCCCATGGCTCTGAGCTTATAACAGCTTTGAGCTTATGGCTCTATGGGCTCTACGCGTTTAGTGACTTGGCACAGCCCCGCGTCCTTCACCCGCGGGTCTTCTGTCCCGGGACATGCTGAAGGTCACACACTAATCTAATTCTCTTTTAATAAATGACATACGCCTAAAACAACATCAAAAACACCGCGGCTAAAGGCCTATAATCATGTATAACGTATCAATGGGATTAAATAAGGCCTACCGGTTATTTTCGTTTGGATATCCCTAAAAAGTCATAAAAATAAATTAAGAAAAGAAAGGAGTGTGTGTTGTGTCGTGTTTAGGCCTTGAATATTTAAAAAAGATCTGAAAAGAATCTGCCATTGAGCTCATTCCACACATTCCTCTACCTCTGACGATTAATAATTAAGCTTTGGTTTGAGATTTCACTTTGATTAGTAATAATTGTGAATATAATATTCCAAGTCTAGGCATTTAAATAAATAAGAATCATTTATTGTTCCTGTATATGTGGCGCAGGCCGTGCGTGTGCACGTGCTGCAGCACGTGGGCCCAGGGCAGGGCTCCAAACTCATGCTCCAGAAACAGCACATTTTTATTCAACGGCAGCTTTTGTTCTTGATATTAAAATGTTGTCCAGATAAATCCAATGAAACAGTTTTTTTCATTGAAGCCAAAGTTTGATTGGAATATTTTTGGTGGAAATCTTCAGTTTTATTCACTCTGTATTGGCCTAAAACACAACTGTGTGTGTCTGTATCTGTGTCATTACATATAGGATTCATTGGGTACTTTTCTTTGAATAAATAAATAAACATAAATGAAACAGTTCATTTATGAAACATGCGATAAAAGTGTTTTAGCTGAAATAAAAACGTCTTTATTAAATGTTAATTAAACTCATGTAAAGTAGAAGTTCTCTGTAAGAATTGTGTCATTGTCTTAGTGTAACACGATTGTGTTTCTCTGAATAAACAGTGATGGAGACATTATAAAACATTTTATTTGTTTCGGGTCAGGTACATTGCACTGTTTATAGACAGATAACGGACACACACATTACACACACACGACACACACATGACACACACCATTCATTACATATGGATTGTCTCTGATCCACGGCCGCAGGTTTCTCTCAGTTGTGGAAAAAAGCATTGAGATCCTCGTACTGTGCGGGTCTCTCATGGTGCACGTGCACTTCGTGAAAAGGTGGAATGTTCTCCGCGTGCGCGCCGCTGTTGCGCGCTCCAGATGCCCCATAAGACAAGTTGCCCCTGGACGTGGAAAGTCCAGAGTAATGCATAGAATAGTGGTAATTCCGGTCCGAGTCTGAGGACTCGTGCTGGCGGCTCGTGCACACGGGACTGTGCGCGGCCTCGTAGTCCGGGCTGCTGTAGTCCGAGGCCTCGTACGCGGAGCTGTAGCTCTGGCCGCGCAGGCTCAGAGGCCCCGCTGCGGACTGGTAGTGAGGGCTCAGCCGAGAGCAGCGGTACGAGTAGGGCACAGAGAAGGGCGAGCTTGCCATGTGGAAGCGGGCCCCGTCCGGGCACTGCTCCGTCAGGTAGTTCCGGGTGTTGAGCTGCATGCAGCCCGCCACCAGGTTCGTGGTGGGCTGGGACAGTCCTTTGCACAGCATCTGCACGTACGTCACTACGTCAGGTCTTTTACCGTTGCGCAAGATCTCCCCCAGCGCCAAAATGTAGTTCTTGGCAAGACGCAGAGTCTCGATCTTTGACAGTTTCTGGGTTTTGGAATAGCACGGCACGACCTTCCTCAGATTGTCCAGGGCTGAATTCAAGTCGTGCATCCGCGTCCGCTCCCGGGAGTTCGCCTTCATGCGCCGCACCTTGGAGCGCTCCACGCGCTCTGCAGTCATCTTGCGTTTTTTAGGTCCGCGCTTCTTGGGCTTTCCGTCCACACCGTCCTCGTCCCCACAGTCCTCTTCCTCCGCTTCCTCCTCGTCCTCATCATCATCATCATGGTCCCCTGTCATCTCAGACTCGGCTCTGCTGCTGCTTCCCTCCTGAGCGTCCTCCAGGTCGTGCTCCATCAGAGCGCTCTGGTCCTGGTCCTGGTCCTGGTCTTTGTGTTCGTGCTCCTCCGCCCAGTCCGCGAGCCGCTCCACGTCCGGGAGCACTTCACTGAAGAGCCGGCTCAGCATGGTGCAGTCTGCAACACACACAACACACACAACAGTTACCCTCTGATCTCAGACTGTGGTCTCACACTGTGGTCTCAGACTGTGGTCTCAGACTGTGGTCTCAGACTGTGGTCTCAGACTGTGGTCTCACACTCTGGTCTGGTCTTAGACTCTGGTCACAGATTGTGGTCTCAGACTCTGGTCTCAAACTCTGGTCCCTGCAGGGCCTCCTCAGCCTCAGCCTCAGCCTCCGTCTCAGCCTCAGTCTCAGCCTCAGTCTCAGTCTCAGTCTCAGTCTCAGTCTCAGTCTCAGCCTCTGCCTCAGTCTCAGTCTCAGTCTCTGCCTCTGCCTCTGCCTCTGCCTCTGCCTCTGCCTCTGCCTCTGCCTCAGCCTCAGTCTCTGCCTCTGCCTCAGTCTCAGTCTCAGTCTCTGCCTCAGTCTCAGTCTCAGTCTCAGTCTCTGCCTCTGGCTCTGCCTCAGCCTCAGCCTCTGCCTCTGCCTCAGCCTCAGTCTCTGCCTCTGCCTCAGTCTCAGTCTCAGTCTCTGCCTCAGTCTCAGTCTCAGTCTCAGTCTCTGGCTCTGGCTCTGCCTCAGCCTCAGCCTCAGCCTCAGTCTCAGCCTCAGCCTCTGCCTCTGCCTCTGCCTCTGCCTCTGCCTCAGCCTCAGTCTCTGCCTCTGCCTCTGCCTCTGCCTCTGCCTCAGTCTCAGTCTCAGTCTCTGCCTCAGTCTCAGTCTCAGTCTCAGTCTCTGCCTCTGGCTCTGCCTCTGGCTCTGCCTCAGCCTCAGTCTCAGCCTCAGCCTCAGTCTCAGTCTCTGCCTCTGGCTCTGCCTCAGCCTCAGTCTCAGCCTCAGTCTCAGCCTCAGCCTCAGCGTCACTGATGGAGCAGAGAAAGACAAACACAGTGATCACATCATCATCATCATGCAGTATTATTCTGTTCTGTGGAATCAAACATTTATTTAAGTCTTTGATTCATGACAGTGGGGCTAAAAATAAAGTATGATTATTTAACGACACAGAGCAACAGTGTGTGGCCCCGTCCGTTCCCTGCAGCGGCGCGGCTCAGCCCTGGCCTCCTGGAGCCTCCTGGAGCCTCTTGGGACGTTCTACAGCCGTGCATGAGAGGTGCGCGGGTCTCCGTGCCACAGATGAGACCATCAATTATCTGCAAGTCACTTTTAGGCCAGAGGCGACTGACTTTATTGGAACATTGTGATGGGAAAAAAATAATATTCCTACGAGCCGTGACAGGAAAATATGTACGAAATGCACAGCACAATAGTATTTTGTTTTACAAGTAAAAGTGAATGTCACATTAACATGAAGCTAATGTTGGATCATGTGCGTTTCCTTTTTGTTCTGTTTTGTCACGGAAATCATTTAGGCCCATTCCGACACTGTACGTGTGTCTGCCGCACACGTCGCGGGTGTTCCGCGCTCAGCTGTGCGTAAAGTGACTGTAGACTCTCTTCTTGATAATCTTGTAAGCACAATGTAATTAATGCCGACCAATAATACCTTGTCAATTAGTGTTCTCTGAGGAGAGCTCAACCCCCTCTGAGCGCAGACAAATGCATTCTTATTGTGTTACATGATTTTCACGTTAAATAGGATAACATTGTAATTCTCAAATCAGATTTACGCAGCGATCTGGGCACTTCCGATAATCCCACTTTCGGGGATTATTAAAAACTAAATCCTCACAACACAAGCGTAGCCTCAGCCCAGAAATAAATAGGTCTACGTAAAAATGTACGTAATGAAAACACATTAAATACGTTCCTTAATTCGCAGAAACCCTTGTGTAAAAACGGTAAAAAGCCGTAAACAAAACACAGATAAATCTCTCCGGGCTCGAGGCGTAAAAGCAGATATTGCACACGGAGCCTACCTCCGCGGTGGTGGAAGTCGTAGCCGGTAAAAGCAGGTTTGTTTACACCATGTCTCTCCAGGTGGGCTTCATATCCGCTCTTGCGACAGGACAGGATCGCTGTATTTGTCCTCTAAACACCTCTCCTCTCTGCGTCTGCTGTGTGTCTGTGTTCTGCTGCTCTCCCTGCAGCCCAGACGCGTGGAGGGAGCGTGTGGCACCTCACAGACACGACTGGGTGGGTTACATACCAGCTCTTGATGCCAGGCCCATATGGCTGGCACGTCATTGGCAAGAGCCATCACATGAGAGCCCCGTGATTGACATGCGGCCGCATTCACAGAGACTGGCTTCCCCTGGGGGAGAAGGACTCGCCATCTGTCACTGTGCTGAAAGAGAAAATGGAATAAGGAGTGAATGGCGCGCACACACACGCACGCACGCACACACGCACTGGATTGAAGACGTTTATTGAGGGAAAGGGGGTTAATGCTTATAGGAAGTTTGTCAGATAATCCTGCACAAGGAGATGATATCGTTTGTGTTTTAGCTTCATTTTTCCGCGGTGCGTAAATGTGCTGAATGAAAAGAACGAAGACAAAACATTAAAGTCTAACGTTTAAAGACATTGTGTGGCATCTCTGTGATAATGTATGTGTCTAATGTAAACTCTGACAAAGGCCTGGACTCCAAACATGAAGAGATAAACATCAGAGACATGGAGCCATTGCCTAAACGAGTCAATTGAAAGGGCTAAGCAGTGGGTCCACACGGGCTGCCAGGCCTGGCACAGGGGCCACTGGGCGCACTGCGGGCGTCCTGATGCCAAAGGGCCCACGCCCACGGAAGTCTAACGATGGGACAAGTCAGTGTGAGGAGATGCTTATCATACGGCACAATTAGAAACAGGCGATTCAAATGACAATTATTGTAGCCTTTTGGTGCTGTAGAGAAATGAGGATGTGAGCAGGATATACAGAGACTAGAGTGACATCTAGTGGGCAGAAGACGCCAGTACACAAAATCGTCCAGCTGCATATTTTCCAAAATTCTAAAATATACTGGAAGCGTAATATACTGTTTTCAAACATATGATTTTTGAATACTTATTTTTTCATTTAAAGTGGCACGTTAGATGTACACATCAGAGATCTGTATCTACAGATGACCTTATATTTAACTTGTCAGTCAAGCGTCAGATACTTGGACAATAGTGACATCTCGTGGTTGTGTTGCGTTGGTGCAGGCTCTTGGTGAACGTCGTGAGCAGTGGTTTTGAGTGAGCAGATCACACTGTGCAGATATTCTGAAGCAAAACAAAATATATTTTTTTTTAGCTTGCAAGTATTGCAAGCTGAAGCCTCACAGACCTCTGCGTACCTCGGTATTACAGATACACATGCGCAATGTGACACATGGATTGCTCTTGTTTAGATTTAATCCACTCTATTTTGATCCTTTTAGTTCCTTGTCATACTGTCCTGGTTTGTGAATGTGAAGTGGACGCTCATTAACACACGCGCCATGCGCTCATTATGTTTATTGCTTCACTAATAATCATTTTGAGAAAATCCGTTTCCATGGCAATGCACTTCTCAACTTGTTTAGCGTCGGACATATCTCCAGCAGACGTACAGCGATGGGACAGAAATAATATATTTACCAAATATACATGATGTTACAATATACATAAAACTGTATCCACCATAACTACACTCTGTATATGTTTAAGAACCCACCAGTCCAGAAATCTGTGGTCAACATCAGGCAGGAGACTGAAGAGGGATATGTCCGAGCGCCCGTCAACGCCCCACACATACTTTGGCACGCGCCCTCAGTAATCTGCAGACACGGAGCTGCACTCACAGGGCTGTTTATTCTAACGATTATATTTTATTTAGTTCTGTTCTTTTACCAAATATGTCACAACTCTGTGAATCAAGTAGCACACTGAGTATTTCTTTCCAAATACGTATACTTAAATAAAAATACAGTTCAAAGATAACAGTGAATGCTTCCAGCTGTGTCTGTTACACCTGTAATTCCATTGAACTATATCGTAAAGCACAGCTGCATTTACAGCTTATGTTGTGTTTTTGACATGTTGAAAAAACCTGGTATGAACATGAAGCCAAAGCTCTGTTGCAGGAGATCCCAGGGCCCTCAGAGTGCGGCTCTGTGGCTGCAGGCTGCGTGTTTGCAGAATGTGTTGCCGCTGCCTTCACGTCCACAGCCTCAGACACATCACTCATCATCCTCACTCTGACACCGACACTGCTCCAGGGACATCTGATCAGGAGGAGAAAGTCCACACACACGTACACGCACACGTACACGCAGTCACCTCACGTCGTCATGACACGTTAGAGAAGTCGCAGGTGAAACAGTTGTATTGAAGTGTTAAGTTGACCCCTGGACGTCACCATGGACCCTCTGCTGCCCAGAAACGCGGAGCTCCCAGAAGCAGAAGCAGATCAAGATGAAGACGAGAGGAAGAAGATCCAGTTCTCTGTGCCGTGCTCCGCGCCTCCGCAGCTGGACCCGCGGCAGGTGGAGATGGTGAGACCGCATTTACAACATCCACACGTCTGCAGCCGTTCTTTAAGTTTATGAGAGAATAATTCTATATAGGATCAAAATATGTATACCTGGCAACCCAAATGACACCTAAGATAAGACAAGAGATCCTTGATTCGTCTCACAGACGGGAAATGTCAAGTAGTAAAATATACAAAATAAGTAGTAGCTATGCTTTTATTAGCTAGCTGTGAATGCTTAGGAAAATAATCTGTCTAAAATGTATATATATGCAGTGCAGATGACATTTACAGGCTCTGCAGTTCTCATTGTACAGTCTGACAGCAGCAGGAATTGTGCAATATTAGTCCATCATGTTCAATAATGTAAAAGAAGTGCACTTAACTTCACCTGGACTTTGGCACAGTGAGACAGAAAGATGCTTTTGAGTTATTTTCTATTTTTATTAAAGTAGGAGACAGGACAGATTTAAGGTCCAGTCTGATGAGATCCCTGTGTCATAACAATATACAATAAATGACATATCCATGAATAAAACAGAGCAATGGATCCAGAACAATACCATGCACAACTTCGATAATACATTTATTATTATTATTATTATTATTATTGTTATTATTATTATTATTATTGTTGTTGTTAGTAGTAGTCGATCCCTTTTGTTGTGGTCGGTAACTCAGAGTTGGAATAAGCTCTGTCATTGGCAAGAAAAAGTATTTAATAAAAACAAATACACTTTAAATGCAATAAATTAACACTTTACACACACACACTTACACACACACACACACACGCATACACACACACACACATACACACACACACATACACACACACATACACACACACACACACAATCACAATAACAGATCTATTATTGATGTCACATGAGTCGGAAGCTTCCTCCCCAAAAATACCGCATTTACCTTTTTAATACATCAAAATGCAAATTGAATTGTATAATAATAATAATAATAATAATAATAATAACATAATTATATAACTGTATCCGGTCACTCTGAATAAGTGTGATTTGAAGGACACACAGTTGTTGAGGCTTTGTGGTTGTTTACTTTGGCGCTCCAGGATTATACCTCAGTCTGCATGTGCTTCTCTATAGTCTACTCTAAAAACACTAAAATACTGAAAACATAAACAGCATGCCATTAAAAAATAAAAATGATACACTTTTGTCATTGTATTTTCATGTTTTAGTGAGTTATCAGTATTTTAAAGTCGAAAAGTCGTGAACATACAGTGTAGTGCAACTTAAAGGGTAAATAATGCTTTTCACTTGTAAGTCTCTATCCTACCACTAGAGGGAGGAGTTTTATTTTTATTTTAACATATTTATTATCTGAAAATGACCAGCTACAAACACACCCAAGCATCATTTCATTTGAGACATTGCCAAAACTAATTTACGGGCAATACTTTTGTTTTAAAAAGCATACAACTGGTCAGATTTTATACAGAGTTCCACATTTGTTTCAGAAGTTCCTGAGTTCGTTGATGGAACTAAAAATCCAGGTCTGTTTTTGATCAGGGAACCGTTTTGTAACATGTTTAAAATCTCAAAGAAGTGGACGAGCAGAGTATGTGTCCTTTAAGTGCTTTTGTTCTGAGGCATTGTTCTGGAGCTACATGAAAACACAGACGAGCCTTGAACAAGCGTTAGTCACTTGTTGCAGGCGGTGAGAGTGTTATGTAAAAAATATAGACCCACATTATTTACGTAAGAATGACTTGTCTTTCAAAACATTGGAATGTGTACGATCTGTGTTTGCAGTTTTCAATATCCAAGTTTATTATTATTATCATTATCATTTTTATTTAGGATAGTACATATTAATCAATGTGTCTGCAAACAAAAAAAGTACTGGAATTAGCACAACAGCTAAACATCCATCGTCCTAAGGCAGGTAGAGACAAAGAAACAGGTAAAAGTACAAACAATAACTAGCTCAGTTGGTAGAGCATTGGCCTTTGAGCCAGAGGGTTGTGGGTTCGATCCTGACTTTCACCATTGACTCCCAATGTCTGCTGTTGTTGTGTCCTTGGGCAAGACGCTTAACCTCTGGGAACACCAGGTGCCACAGTGGGGTGGCTGCGGCTGTAAAGTGCCAAACTGCTGTTGTGTCCTTAGGCAAGACACTTTACCCCCATTGCCTAGAATGAGTCTGGTGTGTGTGTGAATGGTTGGTGGTGGTGGGACTGGTTGCCTCGCTTCTGTCAGTGTGCCCCAGGGCAGCTGTGGCTACAGTAGTTTATCACCACCGTGTTTGGAGTGAAAGAATAATGTGTAAAGTGTCTTTGAGTGTCCAAAAAAGCGCTGTATAAAACATATTATAATAATAAGAGAAAGTCCAAGATATGATCTTCATCCATGGGTTTGATTTCACCCAATGTGTCAGGACTATTTATTATTGCTTTCACAATGGTGAATGCAAATGGTGGCGGTGTGTGACGGACGCGTCAGCGCCCGTCACTCACCCCGACGTGACGGTTGCGTGCGTAAACTCAAACGCTTTAAAATGATGTATCACGTGCCATTGAAACCTATATTGTTTTTGCTTGAGACGTCGAAAAAAAATTCCTTATTTAGGCCCGAGCCCCGAACGGGGAAAGGGCCTATTGTTTTTGCTCGAGAGATGTCAAATTCTGCACTTTGAGCCTTAATTTGACCCCCTGAACATGCATGAAAAGTTGTAAAATTTTGCCCAAACATCAGACCGGGTGAAAAATTTGATATTTTGGTGTTTACTTTTATGGGACTCAAAAAATGCCAGAACAGCGCCACCTACAACAGCCAAAATAATACCCCTATGGGACTTTTGGAGATCAAGTTTGTGGTAGAGTCATGAAATTTGGTACACATGTTCCTCAAGTCAAGACAAGAAAAAAATATTATTATGGCCCCGCCCTCTGACAAACAGGAAGCCCATAAATTTCACTGCAAAATGGAAAAATGAACAGCAAAAGTTTTCATACATGTCGGTTGGAAAGCGACTCCTCCTCGGCCGTTTCACCGATTTGCCTCAAAATCGCTCCACATCATCTCAACACATGTACCTTCAAAATGACCTCAGGGATTTTTGATCAGTGAAACATTGTTTGAGCAGCGGAGCGGCAAAATATGAGTGTTTTTTGGCAGTTTTTGACAACATTAAATTTGCTCCCGTTTGCACAAACAAAGTCTGATTTGCACAAAACATTAATACATTGTTCAGCTCTAGGGTTCAAGTCATTTGAAAGTGAAATTATTCAAATTGACACATTAGCGCCCCCTACAGACTATTTCAAAGTTTTAGATGGGCATTTTCAAATTTAGTTTAGGCTTATTTTTTACCCTGTTGCCGTGGCGACGACAAACGCTCCCCATTCATCGCAAATGTACACCTCACACAAACATCAAACCAGCCTCGGCCGTTTCACCGATTCGCCTCAAAATCGCTCCACATCATCTCAACACATGTACCATCAAAATGACTTCAGGGAATTTTGATCAGTGAAACGTTGTTTGAGCAGCGGAGCGGCAAAAAGTGGCGTATTTCTTTTCAGTTTTTGACAATAGAAAAATTGCTTCCGTTTGCACAAACAAAGTCTGATTTGCACAAAACTTGAACCCATGGTTCAACTCCTGGGTCTAGGTCATTTGAAAGTTAAAATTTTGAAATTGGCTCTATAGCGCCACCTGCAACAGCCGATTTAAAAATGCCTATGGGAGGGGTTCGAGGTCAAAATTGTCGTAGAACCATGTAATTTGGAACACATGTTCCTCAAGTCAAGACATGGAAAAAAATGTTATTATGGCTAAGCCCTCTGACAAACAGGAAGCCCATAAATTTCATTGCAAATTGGAAAAATTAAAACCAATCATTTTCCTACACGTTGGTTGGAAAGCGACTCCTCCTCGGCCGTTTCACCGATTGGCCTCAACATTTTTCCAAATCATCTCAACACATGTACCTTCAAAATGACTTCAGGGACTTTTGATCAGTGAAATGTTGTTTGAGCAGCGGAGCGGCAAAATGTGAGGTTTTTTTTTGGCCGTTTTTGACAACATACATTTTTTTCCCGTTTGCACAAACAAAGTCTGATTTGCATTAAACTTGAATCCATTGTTCAACTCCAGGGTTTAGGTCAGGTGAAAGTGAAATATTTGAAATTGGCCCATTAGCGCCCCCTAAAGACTGAGTCAAAGTTTACATGGGGAGCCAAACCAGCTCTACTTATCATATTCATTACAATTTGACTAACCATCTTCTGTGGCTACGGGAACAAATCATCACACGGCGGCGCCACCTCCTTTGAGCGGTGCTGCGTGGTACGGTGTGGTGCGGCGTAGTTCGGGGCGTTGTGGAGCGGCGCTTGGCGCGGGGCGGCGTGATGCGGGACGGCGTGATGCGGGACGGCGTGGTGCAGGGCGGCATGGTGCAGGGCGGCATGGTGCAGGGCGGCATGGTGCAGGGCGGCATGGTGCAGGGCGGCATGGTGCAGGGCGGCATGGTGCAGGGCGGCGTGGCAGCTTGGCACGGGGTTGTGCGCGCGGTGTGGGGAGTCGCGCGGTGCGGCGAGGGCCGTTCGACGCCGCTTGCGGCTTTAATTTATTATTATTTTTAATTTATTTATTCATTTAGTTGTATTTATTTATTTATTTTAATTTATTTGTTAATGTATTCATTTATTCATGTATTTATTTGACAAGGACAATGCACAGTATGAAACAAACGTAAATATGCCGGATACCAAACTACTTTTCATCCGTAGTCCTGAGGCAGGAAAATACATAAGACTAAATACAAACATAATACTTTAAATGTTAGCAGTAAAACTCTTCACACAACCCCAGTTTTCAGGATCCTTCAGGAATCACAGAATCAACTAAATGTGGTGTCGTGGTCTCGTCCCGGGGCAGGAATGCATTGTAAAGACAGACAATAGTTTCTTTTCCTTCAGTTTGAGAGCTCCCAGAGACTGAAACAACCAGTGGCCATAGTTCAACCTGGACATGATGCTAACTACACTGCAAAAGTTATGAAAAAAAAGGCAAAAACGTCTCAAAATTAGCAAAAAATTTGTCGTAATTTGAGCACATTCTGACTGTGCCTTAAAACAAGATTCATCAAAGAGACAAAAAACATGATCTTGTTTTTTAAATATACAGAAATGTCTCACTTGGAATGAGAAAATATGGCTCTTTGGCTTTGAATCTTGTTTTAACACAGACAAAAATTACGACAAAAACGCTCCACAGGTGATTCCAGAAATTACTCCCTCATGATTTATCATTTGTTGCTGTTTAAATGTTAAAAAAACGTTTAAACAGCAAAAAACATGTTTGTTGCTTGTGGGACGTCCCATGAGAGGCCGGGGGGGAGGGGGGGGGGGCATTTCCTCCTCATTCATTACATTTCTCGGGACATCTGCTTCGAGATCATATTCCTGCACAAAAACAAATACATCAATATTTAGACACTTGTGTTTTTCAGCCACGGAGAAAACGGCCTTAGTCCACTTCTGTATTTGCTTCATTCATACAGCACATTGGTCAGAGTGAGACCTCCGCTGTCTATGGTACGTACCAGAGTGAGACCTCCGCTGTCTATGGTACGCACCAGAGTGAGACCTCCACTGTCTATGGTACGCACCAGAGTGAGACCTCCACTGTCTATGGTACGTACCAGAGTGAGACCTCCGCTGTCTATGGTACGCACCAGAGTGAGACCTCCGCTGTCTATGGTACGCACCAGAGTGAGACCTCCGCTGTCTATGGTACGTACCAGAGTGAGACCTCCGCTGTCTATGGTACGTACCAGAGTGAGACCTCCGCTGTCTATGGTATAAAAGTCACTTTATGAGTTTTTACTGTTGTTAGCCTCATGTTTATATTGTGCTTTAGCAGCAGAGAATATGACCAAGATACCAATATCTCTTTGTTGTTTGTTTGATGTTCTTTTGTTAAAATAAATAAGTAAAAAAACGTCTTAAGCAAGAGTTTAAAATGCTTTAGTGATACAGTACAGACCAAAAGTTTGGACACATCTTTGAAAATTGTAGATTCACACTGAAGGCATCAAAACTATGAATGAACTCATGTGAAATTATGTACGTACTGAAAAAAAAGTATGACCCAAGTGTAAATATGTGTTATATTCTGGTTCTTCAAAGTAGCTCCTTGTGATCTGAAAAATTACGACAAAAACGCTCGATTCCAGAAATTACTCCCTCATGATTGGTAACGAATGACATCAGACTTAACACTGACGCAGGAAAAGTCTCAGTTCTTATCCTGTTAGATTTAAGTGCTGCTTTCGACACTGTCGATCATGGTATCCTCATTCAGAGACTTGAGGACTGGGTTGGTGTTTCTGGTACAGCCCTAAGCTGGTTTATGTCCTACCTACAGGACAGAAAGTATTTTGTGGAGATTGGAAACTGTATCTCAGACCATCTGGCCCTAACCTGCGGAGTGCCACAGGGATCAATCCTGGGGCCTCTCCTGTTTAATATTTACATGCTGCCTCTGGGTAGGTTAATACACAGTAATAACGTGTCCTATCACAATTATGCTGACGATACTCAGGTCTATGTGTCCCTGACAGCAGGAGAACATGGACCAGTGGACTCGCTCCTTCACTGTATCCAACAAATCAGTGATTGGATGCAAAATAACTTTCTCCAGCTAAACACAGAAAAAACTGAAATTATTGTTTTCGGACCTCAAAAACAAAGAGAGAGCGTTATCTGCCGCGGCTTTAGTCCACTTCTGTATTTGCTTCATTCATACAGCACATTGGTCAGAGTGAGACCTCCGCTGTCTATGGTACGTACCAGAGTGAGACCTCCGCTGTCTATGGTACGCACCAGAGTGAGACCTCCGCTGTCTATGGTACGTACCAGAGTGAGACCTCCGCTGTCTATGGTACGTACCAGAGTGAGACCTCCGCTGTCTATGGTACGTACCAGAGTGAGACCTCCGCTGTCTATGGTACGTACCAGAGTGAGACCTCCGCTGTCTATGGTACGTACCAGAGTGAGACCTCAGCTGTCTATGGTACGCACCAGAGTGAGACCTCCGCTGTCTATGGTACGTACCAGAGTGAGACCTCCGCTGTCTATGGTACGTACCAGAGTGAGACCTCCGCTGTCTATGGTACGTACCAGAGTGAGACCTCCGCTGTCTATGGTACGTACCAGAGTGAGACCTCCGCTGTCTATGGTACGTACCAGAGTGAGACCTCCGCTGTCTATGGTACGTACCAGAGTGAGACCTCCGCTGTCTATGGTACGCACCAGAGTGAGACCTCAGCTGTCTATGGTACGCACCAGAGTGAGACCTCCGCTGTCTATGGTACGTACCAGAGTGAGACCTCCGCTGTCTATGGTACGTACCAGAGTGAGACCTCCGCTGTCTATGGTACGCACCAGAGTGAGACCTCCGCTGTCTATGGTACGTACCAGAGTGAGACCTCCGCTGTCTATGGTACGTACCAGAGTGAGACCTCCGCTGTCTATGGTACGTACCAGAGTGAGACCTCCGCTGTCTATGGTACGTACCAGAGTGAGACCTCCGCTGTCTATGGTACGTACCAGAGTGAGACCTCCGCTGTCTATGGTACGTACCAGAGTGAGACCTCCGCTGTCTATGGTACGTACCAGAGTGAGACCTCCGCTGTCTATGGTACGTACCAGAGTGAGACCTCAGCTGTCTATGGTACGCACCAGAGTGAGACCTCCGCTGTCTATGGTACGTACCAGAGTGAGACCTCCGCTGTCTATGGTACGTACCAGAGTGAGACCTCCGCTGTCTATGGTACGTACCAGAGTGAGACCTCCGCTGTCTATGGTACGTACCAGAGTGAGACCTCCGCTGTCTATGGTACGTACCAGAGTGAGACCTCCGCTGTCTATGGTACGTACCAGAGTGAGACCTCCGCTGTCTATGGTACGCACCAGAGTGAGACCTCAGCTGTCTATGGTACGCACCAGAGTGAGACCTCCGCTGTCTATGGTACGTACCAGAGTGAGACCTCCGCTGTCTATGGTACGTACCAGAGTGAGACCTCCGCTGTCTATGGTACGCACCAGAGTGAGACCTCCGCTGTCTATGGTACGTACCAGAGTGAGACCTCCGCTGTCTATGGTACGTACCAGAGTGAGACCTCCGCTGTCTATGGTATAAAAGTCACTTTATGAGTTTTTACCGTTGTTAGCCTCATGTTTATATTGTGCTTTAGCAGCAGAGAATATGACCAAGATAAATATTCTATTCTCTCTCAATATCTCTTTGTTGTTTGTTTGATGTTCTTTTGTTAAAATAAATAAGTAAAAAAAAATCTTAAGCAAGAGTTTAAAATGCTTTAGTGATACAGTACAGACCAAAAGTTTGGACACATCTTCTTATTCAAAGAGTTTTTTATTTTCATGATTATGAAAATTGTAGATTCACACTGAAGGCATCAAAACTATGAATGAACTCATGTGAAATTATGTACGTACTGAAAAAAAAGTATGACCCAAGTGTAAATATGTGTTATATTCTGGTTCTTCAAAGTAAGTAGTAAGTAAGTAAGTAAGTTTTTATTTATATACCGCCTTTTCACTGCAGATCTGAGTCTCAAAGCGGTTTACAATTGTTAATTTTGGGCATTTGTCTCTCACTCCACACAGAGATGGGAGCGGGGCCGGTACAGGAGGCACATGCCAGAACTATTGGACATATTTTTAGTGGTAGGGGAAACCGGAGTACCCGGAGGAAACCTACGCAGACACGGGGAGAACATGCAAACTCCACTCAGAAAGGCCCTGGTCCGACCGGGATTCGAACCCAGGACCTTCTTGCTGAGAGGCGAGAGTGCTATCCACTCAGCCACCGTGCTCCTTTTGCTCTGATACTGCTTCACTCCTGACATTCTCTGGATGAGCTTCAACAGGACCTGAAATGGTCTTCAACAGTCTTGAAGGAGTTCCCATAATGCTTAGCACTCGTTGGCCCTTTCGTCTTCACTCTGTGGTCCAGCCCCAAAACCATCTGGACTGGGTTCAGGTCCAAAACCATCTGGACTTGGTTCAGGTCCAAAACCATCTGGACTTGGTTCAGGTCCAAAACCATCTGGACTGGGTTCAGGTCCAAAACCATCTGGACTGGGTTCAGGTCCAAAACCATCTGGACTGGGTTCAGGTCCGGTGACTGTGGAGGTCATGTGGCCCAGCACCATCTCTCTCCTTATTGGTCAATCAGCCCTTACACAGCCTGGTGCGGGTCTACAGCAATAGTCATGAAAAGAAAGGACAGTCATTGAATGAGAAAGTGTGTCCACACTTTTGGTCTGTACTGTATGTTATGTTGACTTTGCAAACCTTTCTCAATACTGGGAAGTTCTCACAGTTTTTCCATATCTTGACCTACAAACACAGCCGAGCATCATTTCATCTGAGAAACTTCGCAAAACAAATTCACGGGCAAGACATGGTCATAATGACGCAGATGCAAAAGTACAGTGCATGTCGAACTGCACTTTACCTTTGGCACAATCTGAGTGATTCTATCTCTGCTAAATAAGACATGTACATTTGTCCAATGTGAGATCAACAAAGACTTATCTTACTTTTATTTTAAAAAGCTTTGCAGACCTTTCTCAAAAGTGGGAAATTCTCAGTTCTTCTATATCTTGATCAAATGTCCTTGAGCCTCTCACATGTTATCTGTGGTAAGTGCAGTTGGACATGGCCGTTACATGTGCATCTGCATCAGTCTGACCGTGTAGCATAGCATTAGCATTAGCATAACTTAGCAGCATAGCATTAGAGAGTCTGACCATGTACCATAGCATTAGCATTAGCATAACGTGGCGTAGCATCAGAGACAGGTGAGAGCTTTGTGTGAGGCCTGGGAAGAGAAACCTGCAAACATCATTCCAGGAGCCCAGAGAATAAATGCAAAGAGAGGATCTGTCGCTGGACTTAGTCAGAACCGTCGCTGGACTCAGTCAGAACCGTCGCTGGACTCAGTCAGAACCGTCGCTGGACTCAGTCAGAACCGTCGCTGGACTCAGTCAGAACCGTCGCTGGACTCAGTCAGAACCGTCGATGCCAGGAACACATTTGCACCGAATCCCGTCCAAAAAGTTTCCCACTGCTAGGTTTGATCCATCAGACAATTCACACTTGTTTTGGAGAAAGAGTGGGATGAGAAAGTGTTTAACTTTATGTTTTCATTCAGTTATTCAGTTTTGCATTTATTTCTTTAAGTATTCATTCATTCTTTCATTCCAACATACACAATACATTTTTTTTACATACAGTATATCAATACAACAGACAAATAACTGTACAGTACAAACAGTAACACAACACTACCACCCATAGTATAAGACACACAACCCAAAACACACACACACACACTCTGAAAACGCACCGGCCCGAACCCTCTCCGACCCTACACCTCTCTCCCTCTCCTTTCCCTGTGCTTAAACCATCAGTCTCTTTCTTTCACATCATTCTTCAGTACATATTTTTTTTAACAATTTTTACTTGAATTTAATCTGGTTTGAGCAGGCTTTTAATTCATCTGGTCAATCATTCCAACCAATGAGATCTGCCGTGACGGGAAATGAAAAGTGCACTTGTGATGGGAGACATTTACCTTGGTATTTTTTTGGATTTAATCAGGTGCAGTGATCTCTCCGATAAGGAACGGGATCAAAGAAGGCCTCACAAAGGATTTTCTCATCAGCTAAATTGGACGCATGAAAGTCCACGGCAGGGATTTCCACTTTCCAGTTGAATTTGTTGTCGAGGAGCTATTCCTGTCCAGAGCTCTTGAGGACAATGGACCTTCTCTACTCTTCCCACTCAGCCTTTTCCAAGTTTAACACGTGAAAAACACACTCAAAAACCCTCATCCAGACAAGAATACATACACATGAATACGAAGTGGCCGGGCCCTTTATCTCAGTCCGTGTTTCAGATTAACATTACTATACTGGGAAGGATTTAGTTTCTCAAATAAAACAGCTTAAATTGCTCTGGCGCCCGCTCCTGTCCAGCTGTCCGTTCACTTTCAGTTATGTTTTTGTAATTGGGACTCAGCCTCTTTTATTTTTTAATCCATGCTTGTTTTGCTTGATAGCTGTTTTTTGTTTCACTTCATCTTCTTTTCAAGCCTTTTTCTATCTTTCTGACTAGGGCTGCGCAGTTATTCAAAGTTTCATGTCTTTGTAGGGGTTGAGGTTACTGAAAGAGACTTCGGCAACAACAACAAAAAAAAGGATAAATATCGCCTTTTTGGGAACTCGTAAATTATAGTTTCAAAGTATAATCTATTTCAACTCTATTATCAGTATTTGAGGTGGGTTGAAAAATAGCGTGGTCTTGCTATAACACTAAAGACATCTGGTCTGTCCAATATCACTGTTATGTCCATTTTTGATTCTAGATATTGTGGATTCTGAACGTTATGTTTTGGACTTGGGACAACCGCAAGTCACGACCTAATGTCATATCAATGATGTTTGGACTAGTTTCTATCTGTGGGTTACCATTTGTCTGAGAAACTGAAATGAAGCTCCTATTATGCTTTCTTCCTAGCCTGGTCTTATCCATCCGTACACTCCGCTTAATCATCATGTCCTGCATGTAACGTCTGGGTCTGGTCCCTGTGTCTGTGATTACAATCGGTTGAATTCCATCCGACCAATCAGAGAGCGCGGGAGGCGGGTGTTGTAGTTAGATGTGGGTGACGTCAAGAGTTTGCGCCGAACGAGCAGGTTGTAGTTTGGCGAAGAATGTGATAGTAAAGTATTCTAGTCTGGTTCTATCAAGAAACTGAAGCCGGAGCAAGAGGAACGTTTAGCAAATGTAATCGCTGCAAGGATTGTGGCGCTACTCCCCACGGGCTCCGTTAGCGGCAAAGGAGATGGCTAAAGCTAGGCTAAATGCTAAATGCTAATTTCAGATCCAATCGTTTCAATCTGCAAAATAAGTTAACCCCTCCCACCTGTTAACGGAGTCAATGCAGCACCTCCAGAACTTAGTACGAAATGTAAATTGTACTATGGTGTGGTACGGCCAGGCTAACTTCTTCCTATACTCTGAGAATTCTTTAGTCAAATGAAAATGTGATGTAGTTTTTTCTATCCACAGAGTTAGAAGCAATGCTATTGTCCCCCTCTTGTATAGGAGATAAGTATAGGTGTGTGGGCAGAGCACTCCACACAAAGAGCTTGACCTTCTCTCTCCATCACAACATAAAGGTTATACTCCTCCTCTGAACGATCCCACATGGTCTGGTTGGTTGCTTTCTCTTCACCTCTGCTAAATTTGGACTCATTCCTTCTCCCAGTCCAAACATTAGCCTCACACGGAATTGCCTTTCTACACAAATTTCAGTTTTTGCGTCGACTTCTTGCTGAATATTCATGAGCGCTGCCCGTGGCCTGGTGCAGTGGAAGTCGCCCACACGTGAAAAAAAAAAAAAACCCACGCGCTCGGCTGGGATTGGCTGGGATTGGCTGAGTGGACACTTATGCACAACTATCTTCTCACCGTAACACGTCGTGCAGAGCAATAGTAACAAGCCTGCACCCGGATTTAGCCCTTTTACAAGAGGAAATACTCAGAGACTGCAAAGTGCTTACATAACACAGCACTTTCAACGCTTTCTGTGAAATGAGACAATCAGAAATATAAAGTACAATTTATTTATTTGACATTTTAGGTGTTGGAATTATCGTATTATTGTTATTGTGGGTTTAAGATGCAGTGTGTAAACATGTGGCCAAAAGTGGTACTGCAGCCTCTCCCACTCTCCCTGACTCAGGTTGCCAGATATGCAGACGAATCCAGCTGGGACCATAACAGCTGAATAGACAAGAGTTTTGTCAACAACAAATCAATAACCAACACCTTTTTCACAAAGATAGAAATCCTGGTTTTATTCCTTGTTTTGTCGTTAACGATTTGAGAATCATAACGAGACCTTTTTTAGTTCTGCGCCACATGGTACTTTACCAGTGAGATTAGCTCCACGCGGTGAGTTCTGGTGCCCGGACCACAGACTTTCTGATTGGTGAAACGGTGGAGGGCGGGACATCGAAATGAAAACAATAACAAGATTTAGGGTAAAAGTAATTTAGAAATTTGAATATCTCTGAACTACTGTTATCAGTTAAAGAAGTATTGGAAAAGAGCAGTTTATTATTATGACAGATTAGGGCCCTTTAATGATGACAGATTAGGGCCCTTTAATGATGACAGATTAGAGCCCTTTAATGATGACAGATTAGGGCCCTTTAATGATGACAGATTAGGGCCCTTTAATGATGACAGATTAGGGCCCTTTAATGATGACAGATTAGAGCCCTTTAATGATGACAGATTAGGGCCCTTTAATGATGACAGATTAGGGCCCTTTAATGATGACAGATTAGGGCCCATTAATGATGACAGATTAGGGCCTTTAATGATGACATGAAAATCTTACATATTGCTGATTTTAACTTGGCCTGGATCACTGTAACTGGGCCATTTCTGATTATCTTGTAGAATTGTTTTTTTTTTAATAGATTTAAACCCAACAAATAAGTGGAGACATGTTCTCTTAATTGTTGGTTAAACATCCATAAATCATTTAAGAGTATATAGGAGGATTTTCTACTTCCGGGTGGATCATCAAGACTATTGGTCCTCCCAAACGTCAATCATTCTGGTGACATGTGCTCGTCAAATAAGACCAGAGAGTTTAGTTCAAAGAGTGGAGGGGGCGGTTCTTTCCTAACATTTGGGAAAGTCCTCCTCTATACCTTTTAAATGTATTTGCAATTGTAAGTCTACTCCAGGACTTTCCACCCTTAGAGATTGGGTTGAGCAGTTAAGTTCTGGAGGAGCTCGGAGTACAGCCGCTGCTCCTCCATGTTGAGAGGAGCCAGTTGAGGTGGTGGAGTGGAGGCATTGGTTTATGACTCCACCAGAAAAGCCGCCATGGATGAAGCTGTCTTTGCTACCCAAGAACAACACGACGTACAGGAGGGATCGGCCATTTTACATTTCAAGATTTCTACCTTTCAACACAATGGGAGAAAAGAAGCAAAAATAAATAGCCGGAGGAAGAGTGTTCCATCCAAGACACCTCCTCCTCCTCCCTCTGAAGGCAGCCAAGAGTGCTCTCCTACACCACAGCACCAGCCAGTGCCAACAAACCCATATCAGAACAGATAAAGTCTCTTTCCATCTTTCCATCTTTGACGCTGAAAGGTTCAAATAATCCATGAAAAATACAATCACAAATTACTGTCGGCGTCAAGGTTACGCAACAATTGTTAAACTGAAGAAAATCCCCTGGAGATTATAGACGGCCGGAGTGTCGGTGTTATGGTATTGCACGGGAAGATACTTTTGAATATTGCTTTTTTCAGCGTTGAAATTAGTAATAGATTTTTATATTCGCAAGATGCTGTTTAAAAACGGCGGGAACGGTTTGAGCTTTGACAGAAGTAAAATTTACTATACACCTGTGTACTTTGGATTATTCCAGAATTTATTAGTTTCAATTCAATTCAATTTATTGTTGTTTAGCCCTATATCACAACAGTAATTATCAATTCTTGTGGCAATTGTTGAGAGTGTCGTGCCACTGTAAGAAGCCTGGGCTGTAGCTTTAGCTTGACCTGTGCTCAAATAAACAGACTGAATGTCCAGACTTACAGAATAACGGAGAAATGTGGTTTTAATGGAGGCACAGGCGTAATGGTTGCTGGAAAATGTGAAAAAATGCATCTGCGCATGCGTCAGCTGCACGAGCCCCATTCATTTAAACGAGTGACTTTAAAAATCCACAGCGACTGAACTAGACTGTCCAGAACACTCCCTCAGCATTGACACACATGTGGAACGGAGCTTTGGGCCAAGAGCCAACTTTTGGACCGTCCTGTAAAGGTGTTTGAGAGGTAAGCTAATGCTATATGTTAGCATTGGCTAATTCTTATTCCGGGTCCACCCCCACAGGCCCGGGGTGGTATTGCAGCATGTCAGCGCACGTCATTTTGGCCACTTTTGAGCCGGGACCCGCCCACACTGGCCTAAACCCAGGTCAACTTCCACATTGCCCTCACTGCTTCCCCCCACTGTCATTAAAAGGAACTGCACTTTACCTTGCCCCACCCAAACACACAAATGAAAGCATATGCCTCCCAAAACAAAATAATTAACTTTTATCTTGCACATGTATTTAAAAGGATTAAAACATTTAAATCACACAAGGATTAGAATAAAAAATTACAACGGTGCATGAAAAAGAGAAGAGATCAAATCCTTCAGTTGGAGCACGGGCAAAAGGAACAGTCTTTAACCTGGATTTGAACATCGCCAGAGAGGCAACCAGTCTCACATCCTCAGGAAGACTGTTCCAGACCGTAGCTGCATAAATCTGAAACGCTGCCTCCCCCTGTCTCGTTCTGACTCTGGGCACGAGCAGGAGGCCAGTCCCTGTGCTCCTCAGAGTCCCAGCAGGAGGCCAGTCCCTGTGCTCCTCAGAGTCCCAGCAGGAGGACAGTCCCTGTGCTCCTCAGAGTCCCAGCAGGAGGCCAGTCCCTGTGCTCCTCAGAGTCCCAGCAGGAGGCCAGTCCCTGTGCTCCTCAGAGTCCCAGCAGGAGGACAGTCCCTGTGCTCCTCAGAGTCCCAGCAGGAGGCCAGTCCCTGTGCTCCTCAGAGTCCCAGCAGGAGGCCAGTCCCTGTGCTCCTCAGAGTCCCAGCAGGAGGCCAGTCCCTGTGCTCCTCAGAGTCCCAGCAGGAGGACAGTCCCTGTGCTCCTCAGAGTCCCAGCAGGAGGCCAGTCCCTGTGCTCCTCAGAGTCCCAGCAGGAGGCCAGTCCCTGTGCTCCTCAGAGTCCCAGCAGGAGGCCAGTCCCTGTGCTCCTCAGAGTCCGGTGGATTTAACAAAGCAGTCGAATTCGCCAGAAATGTGATGATAGAAAAACGCACAGAGCCTTTAGGAGCAGACGACCAATGTCCATAAATGTCGAGAGTCCATTAAAGTTTATTCCAAGCTAAAGCCAAATATTGAAACCTTGAACAGGGAAGAACAGCGGAGTTATTGATGATGAACTGGGCAAACCTCAAGTCAAAGTCTGGTGTTTTGATAAAGCCTGTTGGGATTTGGGACTGTCCGCACTAACACAAGTTTTGGTGGTTTTCTCCCAGATTCGTCGGCGGAGGCCAACACCTGCCACTCTCTTCAGACTGACGGACCCACCTTCTCCTGAGGACGAGACCCAGGTGCTCCCACAGCACTCACTCAAACATACTTCATTATTGTATTTGTCCCACAGTGGGGAAATGTCAGTGTTGCATCACCGGGTGCAGAGCAGTAGGAATGAGGAGCACAAAACACAAGATGAATGAACAATAACTCTATACTGAATTAAAATTGTCTAAATTTAGCATTATAAAGAAGCAAGTTTAAAATCTCTAGCGTTAGCATAATAATGAAGCAAGTATATAATCTCTAGCTTTAGCAACAGTAAAGAAGCTAGTAAAGAATATAAAATACTGTATATTCTAGTGCAAGAAAAAGATAATAAGTGGGCCAGCACCTGAAGTGTATCTACTCTTTACTCTATATTAAGCATTTATAGAGTAAAGAGTATGTTTGTGCCAAAGGTTGAGACAAAGCACTTGGGGGAAACGATCAGTGACTTGAAATTAAAGCATTTTGTTGAGGACTTTAGTAAAGGGGCGAGGATGGAGATGCTACCACCACAAAGATCGGTAAAGCCTACATTAGATCCTGACTAAAGTACTGCTCAGTGCTGATCTGAGGAAAGACTCTCCTAAACGGGTTAGAGTGCATCCAACAGAGATGCATGCACAGTATTCTAAATCTTCCGTATCGTGCCCAGTTGACGGCAGAGCACTAAAGAGCGCTCGGACAAACAACTCTGCAAACAACTCTGCAAACAAGGCGGAACTTTGAGCTTATGCTTTGGTTTTAAACTGTTCCATGGACTCTCGCTGCTGCACTGGGACCATATAGACCCACACACTGAGTCCTGCTGCACTGGGACCATACAGACCCACACACAGAGTCCTGCTGCACTGGGACCAAACAGACCCACACACTGAGTCCTGCTGCACTGGGACCAAACAGACCCACACACTGAGTCCTGCTGCACTGGGACCAAACAGACCCACACACTGAGTCCTGCTGCACTGGGACCAAACCGACCCACACACTGAGTCCTGCTGCACTGGGACCAACACAGAGTCCTGCACAAACAGACCCACACACTGAGTCCTGCTGCACTGGGACCAAACAGACCCACACACAGAGTCCAGACCCACACACTGAGTCCTGCTGCACTGGGACCAAACAGACCCACACACTGAGTCCTGCTGCAGAGTCCTGCTGCACTGGGACCAAACAGAACCCACACACTGAGTCCTGCTGCACTGGGACCAAACAGACCCACACACTGAATCCTGCTGCACTGGGACCAAACAGACCCACACACTGAGTCCTGCTGCACTGGGACCAAACAGACCCACACACTGAGTCCTGCTGCACTGGGACCATACAGACCCACACTGAGTCCTGCTGCACTGGGACCAAACCGACCCACACACTGAGACCTGCTGCACTGGGACCATACAGACCCACACACTGAGTCCTGCTGCACTAGGACCATACAGACCCACACACTGAGTCCTGCTGCACTGGGACCAAACAGACCCACACACTGAGTCCTGCTGCACTGGGACCAAACAGACCCACACACAGAGTCCTGCTGCACTGGGACCAAACAGACCCACACACTGAGTCCTGCTGCACTGGGACCAAACAGACCCACACACTGAGACCTGCTGCACTGGGACCAAACAGACCCACACACTGAGACCTGCTGCACTGGGACCAAACAGACCCACACACTGAGTCCTGCTGCACTGGGACCAACAGACCCACACACTGAGTCCTGCTGCACTGGGACCATACAGACCCACACACTGAGATCCTGCTGCACTGGGACCAAACAGACCCACACACTGAGTCCTGCTGCACTGGGACCAAACAGACCCACACACAGAGTCCTGCTGCACTGGGACCAAACAGACCCACACACTGAGTCCTGCTGCACTGGGACCAAACAGACCCACACAGTGAGTCCTGCTGCACTGGGACCAAACCGACCCACACACTGAGTCCTGCTGCACTGGGACCATACAGACCCACACACTGAGTCCTGCTGCACTGGGACCAAACAGACCCACACACTGAGTCCTGCTGCACTGGGACCAAACAGACCCACACACTGAGTCCTGCTGCACTGGGACCAAACAGACCCACACACAGAGTCCTGCTGCACTGGGACCAAACAGACCCACACACAGAGTCCTGCTGCACTGGGACCAAACAGACCCACACAGTGAGTCCTGCTGCACTGGGACCAAACAGACCCACACACTGAGACCTGCTGCACTGGGACCAAATAGACCCACACACTGAGTCCTGCTGCACTGGGACCAAACAGACTCACACACTGAGTCCTGCTGCACTGGGACCAAACAGACCCACACACTGAGACCTGCTGCACTGGGACCAAACAGACCCACACACTGAGTCCTGCTGCACTGGGACCAAACAGACCCACACACTGAGTCCTGCTGCACTGGGACCATACAGACCCACACACTGAGTCCTGCTACACTGGGACCAAACAGACCCACACACTGAGTCCTGCTGCACTGGGACCAAACAGACCCACACACTGAGTCCTGCTGCACTGGGACCAAACAGACCCACACACTGAGACCTGCTGCACTGGGACCAAATAGACCCACACACTGAGTCCTGCTGCACTAGGACCAAACAGACCCACACAGTGAGTCCTGCTGCACTGGGACCATACAGACCCACACACTGAGTCCTGCTGCACTGGGACCAAACAGACCCACACACTGAGTCCTGCTGCACTGGGACCAAACAGACCCACACACTGAGTCCTGCTGCACTGGGACCATACAGACCCACACACTGAGTCCTGCTGCACTGGGACCAAACCGACCCACACACAGAGTCCTGCTGCACTGGGACCAAACAGACCCACACACTGAGTCCTGCTGCACTGGGACCAAACCGACCCACACACTGAGTCTCGCTTCTTGTTAAACGATTTGTACATTTATTAAAGATAAAAAAATGTGATGGTGTCAAACGTTTGTATTTTTGTTCCCAGTGGATGCTGACGGACAACGGGGTGTTGAAGTCCAGACTGACGCACACCTACCAGCCGCCCTCTCTCAAAGGTTTGCCCCGTTTTATACCCTTTTCTTTCACGTCGCTAAATTTTTCTGATGATGGAATGTCCCAGAGTGATATTTAGATTACAGCCTGAGCTTTACCAACATGAGACTGAACTGAAGATCACAAAAGAGTGGATTTAATCTTACATTTTGTCTATTTTCTAAAAGTTTAATATATTTATATACTTTTTTTTTTCATTCATAAATATCGATTTTATATATTTTGTTGTTGTTCTTTTTTATATTTTCTCTTTGATATCCAACCTATTTCCATGTATTTTTGCACAGCCCTAAATAAAAACAGCAGTCGTCTCGGAGGACTTTACAAAATTGGCAAAATGTATCTTAATTTCAGCACGTTTTGATTGACTTAAAGTAGCAATATGTAAGATTTTTATGTCAAGTCATCATTAAAGGGCCCTAATCTCTCGTCATTAAAGGGCCCTAATCTCTCGTCATTAAAGGGCCCTATCTCTCGTCATTAAAGGGCCCTAATCTCTCGTCATTAAAGGGCCCTAATCTCTCGTCATTAAAGGGCCCTAACAGATCGGAGAATCAGTCGAACAGTTCGCACATAGAAGCCATTGGTCCAGCAGGATGACCAATGTCCATAAATGTTAATAAATGTGAATAAATATCCATAAATGTCCCGTATTGTCACTGTCTTTAGACCCTCCTGTATCTGCGGGGAACCACTCAAAAACAACCCAATTAAAGCAATTCATATTAAATAAATGACATATAAATGCATCACTAGTGTTTTAGTTTTGGGTAATTTTACTGAACAGAATCCAATCGTTTTGAAATATCGACTTGTGAGGTTTTGAAAGTGCCCTGTGGCGAGACACGTTTCGGCAGACTCCGAAAGACACCTCTACCTTTTAGTCCCACTGTGAATAAATCTGTAAAAAGCACATTTCTGAGATCTTTAAAACATTGTGTTCAATCCTGTGGACGATCCAGAGCCCAGTCAGACCTGATTCTCTACAGACAGTGGACATGTGCTTGTTCAGAGGTCCAAAAGCCCTGGGAGTGGTGTGTGTGAGATTAGGAGACAAACAGCTGTGGTCCTCGTCTGGATGATCCTGGATTATGGGATGGACACACAGTTGCAACAGGGGGCGCTTTTCTCACACACTCACAGCCAGTCGCTCAACAAGTCCAAGAAGAACATAGTTATTAGACATTTTATAGACGTGACTCATGACCAAACCACCTGCACTTGCACTAGTACTCCAGTGGGGTTTTACTGCAAATGGCAAATACACTGAAGTTCAACACTGCAAAGAAATGATGAGAAATGACTCAAAAATGGCCCAAATTTGGCAAAATGTATCGTAATTTGAGAACATTTTCATTGCCTTTAAGTAGCAATATGTAAGATTTTTATGTCAAGTTATAATTAAAGGGCCCTAATCTGTCATCTTTAAAGGGCCCTAATCTGTCATCAATAAAGGGCCCTAATCTGTCATCATTAAAGGGCCCTAGTTTGTCATAATTAAAGGGCCCTAATCTGTCATCATTAAAGGGCCCTAATCTGTCATCATTAAAGGGCCCTAATCTGTCATCATTAAAGGGCCCTAATCTGTCATCATTAAAGGGCCCTAATCTGTCATCATTAAAGGGCCCTAATCTGTCATCATTAAAGGGCCCTAGTCTGTCATCATTAAAGGGCCCTAACGCACGCACACACACACACGCACGCACGCACGCACGCGCACACGCACACACACACACACACACACACACACACAGTAACGCTGAGTGGTGTGTGCAGTGGTGCAGAAGATGGCCCAGGCCCACCTCGCCTGTTTACCTTCGATGGACAAAGACGACTCTGAGGAGGAGGCGGACGGCGGCTGTGAAGAGACTAAAGGTGTGTTACATTCTGACACACACACACACACCACGTTATTAAAAACACAATCCTATTTTCTTTTGGATAGAACTGCGTGGAGATGAACAGAAACTTCCAGAGAACTCGGCTCGACCCGACAAATCCACAGAACCAAGAAAGCATCACCAACCGAGAGGCGAGACAGAGCCGCAGGAGATCGGGAAGTTTTAGATTGAAACGATTCAAAAAGGTTCTGTGCTTTTGTCAATGACAGGACCAGTACCAGGACCAGTACCAGTACCAGGACCAGGACCGTTACCATGGGAGCAGGACCAACAGACCTAAACCAGTTTAAAGGTCTTATACTCAGCTTCTCGGGCAAACACTTCACGGCTTCATAAACATATTCTGTGCATGAGTTGCTTTTGTAATTGGATTCTTCATTTAGTGGCTTTGATTTTATTTTGATTCTTTTTCAGCATGATTTGTTTTGTATTTTCATTTGTAATTTTTAAAATAAATCTCTGTATTTATGTTTCTCTCATGTTGTTGTTATTTTTACTCTGTATTATACATTCACGGCTTTGTAAAATGTAAAACTATTTTGTAAACCTGTTTTAATAATAATAAAATCATATGAAATGTTTCCTCTGTATCCGTATCCACACTCGTATCACATGGACAGCTGTGCAGGGCAGGGCCTGGTTAGTGCTCTGATGGGAGACCTGAGGGAACACCAGGTGCGGCTGTGAAGTGCCAAACTGTGGTTGTGTCCTTAGGCAAGACACTTCCCCCACATTAGAATGAGTCTGGTGTGTGTGTGAATGGTTGGTGGTGGTGGGAGAGGCCGATGGCACAGACTGGTTGCCTCGCTTCTGTCAGTGTGCCCCAGGGCAGCTGTGGCTACAGTAGTAGTTTATAACCACTGTGTTTGGAGAGAAAGAATAATGACGTGAAGTGTCTTTGATTGTTCTGAAAAAACCATTGCAGTATCATTATTATTATTATTATTGAAACAGCTGCATGGACACAGCTGCTGTAGTCTATTTGAGCTGTAGGTGGCAGTATAACCTCACATTTGTTTAGGTGAACGAGCATATATACAAGTCTATGTGTACTTATATGTGTGTGTAATGCAATAGGAACAAAAGGAGTCCTGCCTCTGAGCACGTTTACAGCTCTTAAAAACCAACATGAGACACAGAAGTAACAGAACAACAGATGTTCTTTATTTCCACAGTGTCAACATTTCAGAGGATTCAGAAATAATCACATGTTTCCTCGTGTGGCTCTCACGTCTTCTTTCAAAATCTTTCTTGCTTTCACAAAAAACACCCCGCAGACGTCGTCCACGCCCACCTTCATGTCTTGGGGCAGAGTGTAGACCTCCAGCCTGATCAGGCTGAAGCCCTGGTCCTGCAGAGCAGCACAGACCTGGGCCTCGTTCAGTGGGACCACTGGGATCCTCAGGTCTGGACCCCCCAAGTAATAACTCTCCTGCAGCGCCCCGATGAGCAGCAGATGGCCCCCAGGCCGCAGCAGAGTGCTGATGTGTCCCAGGGCCTTGGTGAACGTGTCCAGGTCAGGACTGACACTCTCCAGACAGAAGCAAGACACCAGGCAGTCGGCCCCCTGTGGAGGGAGGCCCTCAGGGGCCAAGGGCTGAGCCTGATGCACATCGATGGGGAGAACATCAGACACCACCTCACGCAGTCGAGCCGCCTTCTCTTTCCACGTGCACGGGCTGCAACAAATGATATAAACAAATATAATAATCATACTTCCACCACATGAAGTCATGCAGTCTGTGAAATACAGAGCACCTTCTTCCCTCCAGTTTGCACACGTGTTGGATGTACGGGGTCCAGTCCAGGCTCCCGCCCTCTCCCTGCAGCCACCGCTTCAGCTCCTGCCTGTTGGCCTCCACAAAGTCAGTCAGGAGCACTTTGTTGAAGATCTCACAGCCACTCAGCACTTGGTACAGAGTGGGACCTGAGCCAACATCGATCAGAAGATCTCCCTCTATGTCTCCTACAAGAAGTATATTGTTCTGACACAGACAGTACATGGGACATAGTAGTATGAAGTATAGAGTACCTTCAGTGAAGGCGCGGTGAAGACAGGCCAGCTTCCACGGCACAACGCTGTCCTGTCTCTCAAAGTCAGCTCTGGGGGAAGTGTAGTTGTACTGCAGGTACGCAGCAGGGTCAAACTTCTGGTAGGTCACTGCCATCGCTGCCACACCGCTCTCCCCCATGTTGGATCTGTCACAGACAAAGACGTCTTCAGGTTCATCTCTTTATAGAGCATCAAACCAGGATGCTTGTACAACTGATAAAGCCAGTTTTACTTAAGCAAGAAACCATAGGTAAGACAAATATTAGCTACCGGTTTAGGTAAACTGCCAAACGATGAGAGTAGAACAGCGGGGACTCACCTGCAGCCTCGACCTCCTCTTCGTCCTTTGCTGCAGCCTCGACCTCCTCTTCGTCCTTTGCTGCAGCCTCGACCTCCTCTTCGTCCTTTGCTGCAGCCCTATAGTTCGGCTCTCATTTATACCTGTCTCCTTGTAGTCCAAAGTGCTTTTTCCTGAGGCCAGTTTCCTTGATTTTCACAGATACAGATATTATCACTGAGCCTTTGCTCTGTTCAGACCATCAGCCCTGTGGCCCTGCTGCTCTGAGCAGGGGTTTCCTCCAACACTAATGCACTCAGCAGGTTCCAGAATCACAAAGAATGCATTTTAATACATACAGGATATATTGTGAATATTACACAGAAGAGGCCATGAAGGAAAATCAGTCAAATCAGAACAATGTGTTTGTTTATACAAGTGCCACACTGAGTATTTTGGCAGGCTGGCCCATGCCGTATCATTGAGGGACAGGTAAATTAATATCTTCACCAAAGCCGTCTCAGTGCAAACCTCTCTGTGACAAAGTGTCTGGCTTCCAAATAAAGACTTGTCGTAAACATGTATTTTTGCACATTTGTGTCCATGAACACACCTTGTTATAAACGTATCATCTTTTAATGCAGTAGAGGTGGATGATAGTCACTACCTGAAGCCCGGAGCTTGTACTTCTGTGTCAGGCAGATAGAAGGAGCAGGAGGTGGAGGATAACATGGCAGATAAGCTAAAACACAAACAGAAGAAAAGCAAACAGGGCAGATATAATTACATAATGTACATTTGGACCGTCCTATTAGGAGCCAATTCTGTTATCGTTGGTTCTCGGGGCGGTGTCCAGTCACAGTCACCTCTTTGTAACCTTAAAATGTGCAAAATACCCAATTAAGTGCACCATGACTGTCTGTGTATGTAGCATAAAGCAGTGTTCCCCAACCTTTTTAAGCCGTGGCAAATGTTTGTCTTTTCAAAAAATCCCATGCACAAGACCAGCTGAATTTGATACAAAAATTAAACTACTGTCTTTTTTAACAAAGCAAAATCATTCTCATCAGTGTGTATTATTTAGCAAATAAAACAAGCACAACAAATGTTTTCTAATCATCTCACATTATTTTCTTTTCACATGATTTTGACCAAGCAGCTGATAACGGATCATTTCCAAGGCACACTCATAAACATCTCGAGGCCCACCAACGTGCCACGGCCCACTGGTTGAAACGCACTGGTATAAAGGATGGTCTCCCCAAATTTGATCTCTGACAAAGCCACTGGAGTATTTTTCAAGAATACGAGATCAAGAACAAAACCGAAACAATCTGCTCTTACTGAAAGCCAGATTTCCTCAGACCTCTGAAGCTAAGCAGGGCAGGACTGATTGGTACTGTGATGGGAGACATCTCTGAACACCAGGTGCCACAGTGGGGCTGTAAAGTGCCAAACTGTTGTGGTATGTGTCTGGTATATGTGTATGTATTGGGCCTCGCTTCTATCAGTCTGTCCCAGGGCAGCTGTGGCTAACCTAGTAGTTTATCACCAGTGTGTATGGAGTGAATGAATAATGACATGTGAAGTGTCTTTGAGCGTTCAAAAAGCGCTAAAAGACATCATGGATTATTTTCATTATTATTATTATTATTACTATTATTATTATTATTATTATTATTATTGTTATTATTATTATTAGTATTAGTATTATTATTATTATTACTATTATTATTATTATTATTATTATTATTATTATTACTATTATTATTATTATTATTATTATTATTACTATTATTATTATTACTACTACTATTATTATTATTATTATTATTGTTATTATTGTTATTATTATTATTATTATTTAAGCGATCATGTACAGTAAGTCTCAGTGTTGCTTTGTGACTTTGACTGTTTGCAAATTCATTCTTGTCCTCCCTTCACATTTGTATTGTTTTAATAACTTGTATATTTGGGTTTCTTACTTTTGTCTTTGTGCAGAACTTTAGACATTTTTTAAAATAAAATAAATAAATGAATTCAATACTTTACATATTACCTAACTAGGTTTATTTTCACGTGACCAAACCTGGAGCTGACACATAAAAAGTTTAAATTCATAAGTGCAAGTAAGGTCTTTTTATTTTTATTTGGGTGCAGCCATTTGAGGAACTTCCGCTTTCCCGCTGGTCATTATTGCGTCATTTCCGGACACTTTAGCGCCGATTTACTAGTGGTTTTGTTGCGAAGTGTAAACTATGGCGTGGACACAGAGCTGTCTTCGTGTCTGTGGTGAGTTTCTGGGTCGTGCGCTGTTTTCTTTCTCTTAATTTAACTTTAAAAACATTAAAAAATAGTTTCTTGTGCAGATGTGGTGAGTGGGAGGAGTCACAGCCGCACGCCTCCTCATGGCCCGCCCTCCCTCTCGGAATTATCGCCAAATAAATCACATGCATTTAGCAAAGTTTACAGCTTTTATTTGATCAAATCTTTGAGCTAACTAAAAATAAACGTAACAGAATTAAAAAGGGATATTTTTATTTTGGCTGGAATTTCGTTGTCACAGTAAGTCCTGGTTATATTTGCTAATATTGTGCACTTGTAAATCATCTGCTGTATTTTTTTCATATATTTCTTGCATTTTCTTGTGTATAGCTATCAACTCATTTAACCATGCTGCTTCTGAGGCTGACCGTGTGTTCAAAGATCCCAAAGCAAACAAAATTCTGCTCCTTTTTCAAGAGAAATCTGATGCAAGGTAAGTCCAGTTATTTCAGTTTTATACGTATTCATTGAGTCATTCATGAATAATACCTAATGCAATGTGATTGGGGTGTTTTAAATGCATTCATTGTAGTTGTTGACATCATGTAGTTGTGAAATATTTTGTTTTTTGCTCTTAATCAACAGTGAGTACCAGTGATTATTGGGTATACTGACTCTCTTTTGCTTTCCCTTTTGTTTTTTCTGCTATAATTCCGCAGCAGATCAAACATTGTTCCTATTGTAGCGTTATTAGATCCCCCCGTGGGTAATCCGGAGTGTGTTTGTGGACCCCGTGCGCCTCATTGCTCCACAGAGATGTGTAATGTCAGCAGGCGCTTTGCTGCTTGGCCTGCTGATGTGGCACTTTACAGGCCGAGATTATCCGTTGCCGTGGTTACAAATGGATGTACTTCTGCGTCTATGTGTTTTACTGAGTTGTGTGCTCAATGAAACCAAAACCCAGAAAGACAAACTTCTATCCAGCCCGAAGAGAAGTGCATATGATGAGAGAGGCTTTGAGTGTCCCGCAGAAGGGAAAGTTCAGTGTTGCAGGGTACAGTGCTAGGAACACAGTATGAAAGTATGTAAAAGTTTACTAATGAAGTACTAATGTCATGTGATGCTGTAAATATGTATGTGCCTTTACATGATTGTGAAAGAGGAGGATTTTCTACTTATGGGTGGATCTTCAAGACTATTGGTCCTCCTAATTGTCAATCATTCTGGTGATGCGTGCTCGTCCAATAAGACCAGAGAGTTTTGTTCTAAAAGTGGAGAGGGCGGTTCTTTCCTAAAACTTGAGAAAATCCTCCTATATACCTTTAAGACAATGTTTGGAGTCATAAAGTTATAGAAATTATGGATTATAAACAAGTTTGTGCAAATTTTGGAACATCAACCACTCTGAAAGCCACTTTGGTTCGTACAGATCCAGACTTTTACAAATGCTGAGACCCGATAAATGCTATATCCCACATTGCATCTGTATAATAAGTCATCTTTGGACATTTAGACCCACATTATTTAGCACTAAAATTCTTAATATACATGATTTAGTTTTTGGTTTTTTGTCTTATTGTTAAATGTATAAGATATTTGAAAACATCTGACCTGAGATATAATGTTTATAATGACCAAAGAAAACCATGACTTTCTTGGTAAATATCAGCCTGTAACTCACTACATTACATCACATTCAAGAGCCAATCAGCTTTGTCGATTCCACAGAACCCATACAGCATATCCACACCAATTATCAGTATCATCGCATCATACTGGTGCGTCCCTAGTGTTAATAAATGATAATAGTGGTGAGTAACAGTGGTTGTGGCTGTTGTGATCTGAATTTAAATATTTCAAACGCAGATCCAAGGAAAAACAAGTTCATTTAATTAACAAAAAACAACTGGAGAAACAAAAACATGATAATAACAAAGTCCAAACAAGCTCCTTTCTCCTTGTTTGGACTTTGTTGTTATCAGGCAAACTGGTCCTCCACATGAGAAAATACAAAAAGACGTTTAAAGTCGAATAAAAAGTGTTTATCCTAATTTCAGAATTGGATTTGTAGATCCAGCACAGAAATACTCTCCCCAATTGGCCTGATGGGAGACAGGTGGGCTCTCCTCACCTGCAAAGGGGGAGGAGACTCATAGACACACAGAGGGGAGGGGGGAGAAGGGAGGGGGGAGGGGGCACCAGAACTGCCCTCCTTCCAAAAAGAGCGAGTTACTAATTACTTTCGCAACTTCTTTGTTTAAAATCTATTGAATATGAAACGACAGGATGGTCTCACGGTTCGTCCTTTGATCATCGCACGGAACTTCGTCACGCCAAAAGGATCGTGGTGAAGTTGGGCAGCGCCGTGGTCACCAGAGGAGACGAGTGCGGCCTGGCTCTGGGCAGACTGGCCTCCATCGTCGAACAGGTAGCCATTTTGTTTGTTAGTTCAGTTTATTTTTATTGTTTATGTGTTGTGTACAAAATGTTGCCTTTTTTTAGGGTGCGACGTTAATTTCAGATTCAGTTGATTTGCCATTTGCAGTGAAACCACATTGGAATACATGTGCAAAACTAACCCAGTGTGCAAAACTAACTAACCCAGTGTGCAAAACTAACTAACCCAGTGTGCACCAGACACGTAGCAATTCAATCCGGACCAGACCAGAACAGACACGAAATGCATTTTAGAAAGGTTTAGGGAGTGGCGCATCCAGAGCGATAGAGCAGGAGCCAGAGCAGGAGCCAGAGCAGGAGCCAGAGGATGAGCCAGAGGAGGAGCCAGAGGAGGACCCAGAGCAGGAGCCAGAGGAGGAGCCAGAGGAGGACCCAGAGCAGGAGCCAGAGCAGGAGCCCGAGGAGGAGCCGCTTCACTGTCATAGGTTGGCAAAGGGGCTGGAAGAGCTCTGTGATTGGCTGAGGGTGGAGAGGCTGGCAGAGCTCTGTGATTGGCTGAGGGCGGTGAGGCTGGCACAGCTCTGTGATTGGCTGAGGATAGGCTGGCCTTGGATGGGATAAAACTGCAGCATGCAGTCTTCCAGTCTGAATTTGCGCTTAAGCCTAATTTGTCACTGTGAAATCAATCCACAAAAACATTATTGTTTAAAGTAGCACTGCGTAAGATTTTCATGGCAAGTCATCATTAAAGGGCCCTAATCTGAGGATTTCTATCTTTGTGAAAAAGGTATTGGTTATAGATTTGTTGTTGACAAAACTCTTGTCTATTCAGCTGTTATGGTCCCAGCTGGATTCGTCTGCATATCTGGCAACCTGAGTCAGGGAGAGTGGGAGAGGCTGCAGTACCACTTTAGGCCAGATGTTTACATACTGCTCCTTTAAAGTGATTGTCGGGAGTTTGTCAGACAGAGAGGTACTTGATTTGAAAAAAACGACGCAAGCTCCCTCCCCCTTCCTTTCTGATTGGTCTACACCTACGTTTCCGTAACACTTTGAAATGTTAATCAGAGAACATATTATACATAAAAATTATTAATACACATGCACGGAGGTTTTCAGAATTATTTGTGAACGTTTTAACTCATTGTGTCCCATTGACGCACAAATACGTCAAAGCAAATAGTAACGTCGTGTGCCATTGACGCATTAATCCGTCAATTGCCTTTTTCGCTATTTTCACGTTCCCAGATGTCTATTGTATCTAATATGTATGGGGATGACTTGAGACCATATTTTATCGAGCCAGCAGGTGGCAGCATTGCTCTCTGAATGGTTTGAAAACATGTAGGTGCACATGTTATGCCTCTTTTTTCTCAGCTTTCTGGTGATTTCTGGTGATTTCAGTAAAACTTCCCTCTACTCAACAAAGGATTACAGGGGAACGAAAAAAGCTATAAACAAAATTCTTTTTGCTGAGGAAAGTAGACAGTCCATTCTTTTAGAATCTGGTGTCGGATTTCAGATAGTCATAGTACACAATATTCTGTGGGTCTTGAAAAATCAGTAAAAATCATCAGAAATGGCTGGCACTGTGGGAGTACCTGTTCTGAAATAGGCTGGCAAAAATGTTTTTATGCACACAAAAAAGCGATCGCGGCAAACCAGGAAGTGCTATTATCATGAATTGCACATTATAGGACACATCTGCAGAGGATCTGATTATGGATATAGGTTCAGTATATACATAAGTACCTCAGCGCGGATGTTCAGAATTCTTTGTTCAGTTTTCATGTAGTTCCAGAGCCTAATAGAGGCTCCGCGAAAACAAACAACTGAGCATGAGCGGAGCTGCGAGCATCAGCGCCGATGATTGACAGCCCTTGGCATGACTCGATTGGTTAACCTCGACGGCACCGTGGATTCTGAACTATAGCTAAGAGAAGGGAAGGCGGGACTTGCCCGTAATATTAGAATTAATAAAATGACTTATTTTATATCAACATTTAAGGCCAGGAGGTCAATTTAGCACATTTCCTAAAATGTGTAATTCATTTAGAGTTACAGACTATCACTTTAATATTTAGTGGCGTTTAATGCATGCACAGTTATTTACAATTGTTACAGCCATATGAATGTGACTTTTCCATGTATTGTCATTTAGTTTTTTTGTTTTATGCTTCTCAAAGATCCAACAGTAATGGTTCAGGTATAGAACAGATGAGAGAATGGTGCTGTTTGTGTGATGTGATCAGACTGACGTGTGAGTGATGTCCGCTCGCCCCCTGCAGCGACAAAAAGACCTGATAATTGCTTTATGGTTTTGCAGGTGGCCATGCTGCAGAACCAGGGCAGGGAGATGATGATAGTGACCAGTGGAGCCGTGGCCTTTGGAAAACAAAGATTAAGACACGAGATCCTGCTGTCCCAGAGTGTGCGGCAGGCCCTGCACACCGGACACACCCAGCTCAAAGACATGGTAACACACAGGTCTACACACAGGTCTACACAATCATTTAGTAATGACCAAAGAGCTGCTGCTGGGGAGCTGCGTTCAGTCGAAGGAAATCAAGGACTTCCAGAAATATGGCGTTTTTCTCTGATTTCATGTCATTTCTTCCATTTCATTTTTCATTTCTTTGCCACCTCTGACGTGTTGTTGAAACCTGCATCAGGGATATTTACAGTATATGGGTTTGCCTTTTTGTTTCCTTGTTTTTGCCTTTATGTTTGTCAATGTAGAAGATTCAGCACAACTATGTTACAATCAGACTTTTTTCAGCTTTAAAGCTGCACTAACTGACTTTATTTTTGTATTCATTACGAAAATGCTATCCATGTCCGTGTAGGGCATTGGGATATACGTCCTTTTGAAGAAAAAGTAGCGCAGGTTTGTGCAGGCGTGACATTATATTTTAGATCGAGTTTTGATGAAACAAGGAAGAGAATGTGTTTCGGGTCGCAGATTGTGACCAATCACAGCGGACCACTGGCCCCCACTTTCGTGAGAAATCTACAGGTCCCTGTTAGCATAGACGGCTGAGTTAGCACAACAAGCGGCGGAGCTAACCTGAAACTTCCTCGTCTTCGTCACCGGTTACTGCTTACACAGCGAGACAGCCATCCACAAGAAAGTCTCGTTCCTCCGCGCTTCCCGGTTCTATCGTTCTATGGTCACGCCATCCACGCTCAAATGTACGCTACATGATTCTATCCATATTGGGAGACGCTAGTTCCATCAACAACAGTGGGTGTGTGTGGGGGGCGATAGCTTCGTGGGTGCGGGGAGGGGAGCAGAAAGAACGAGGCCAGCGAGTCCGCGGCTTCAAAATCCCAAAGTTAGTTAGTGCAGCTTTAAGGAACATTTTTTATTTGCATTTTTAACTTCCCGGCTCAAAAGTGGCCAAAATGACGTGCGCTGACATGCTGTAATACCACCCCGGGCCTGTGGGGGTGGACCCGGAATAAGAATTAGCCAATGCTAACATATAGCATCTTCTTACCTCTCGAAAGCACCTTTACAGGACGGTCCAAAAGTGGCTCTTGGCCCAAAGCTCCGTTCCACATGTGTGTCAATGCTGAGGGAGTGTTCTGGACCAGTCTAGTTTAGTCGCTGTGGACTTTTGAAGTCTCTCGTTCAAATGAATGGAGCTGCGTCGGCTGACGCATGCGCAGATGCATTTTTTCACAATTTCCTTGTGGGCGGGACCACTCGTGGCCCATTTGTTTGAACGGCGGAGATAGGCGTGACTACATCTTTTAATATATACAATCTATGGTCAATACACAGACTCCAACACATTTATGAACTAAACAATATTTCATTTTTTTTGTAAAATAAAAATAATTTCTTGTTTTTTATTATGAATAATAATAATAATGATAATAGTACATCTTACTTGTATGTTCTTTTTTGGACACTCAAAGAATCTGTTTATGTTTTGAAGAAAAAAGCGTCTGTAATGGGGAAAGGACGACTTCACATTTGTGTTCTAAACAATTCAATTAAATACAGTTTATTCTCGTATCGCAGTCATAATCTTGGAGAACCTTTTTTATTTAAGTAAAACACATCAACATTCAACAAAAACATGAAAAGAACACAATATAAAACAAAAACGCAAAAGTACAACCCCAAACAGAACACAAAGACATAAATAATAAAAATAGAGAAGGATAAAAATAGTTTCTCTTGCCATAATCCTGCCCAATGTTTCCACTCAAGATCCTTCTCTTCTTGAATGTTAGTGAAGTGTTCTTGGGTAGAGTTTGATATTGTCGTCTTTTGCGTCCGGTAATCGTTGTGTTTCCATGTGTAACAGTCCGTGCCCGTCCTGGAGGCCCGAGCCTGTGCTGCTGCCGGACAGAGCGGCCTCATGGCTCTGTATGAAGCTATGTTCACACAGTACAGCACCTGCACAGCACAGGTACCACTCACTGTACAGCACAGGTACCACTCACTGTACAGCACAGGTACCACTCACTGTAAAGCACCTGCACAGCACAGGTACCACTCACTGTAAAGCACCTGCACAGCACAGGTACCACTCACTGTACAGCACCTGCACAGCACAGGTACCACTCACTGTAAAGCACCTGCACAGCACAGGTACCACTCACTGTACAGCACAGGTACCACTCACTGTACAGCACAGGTACCACTCACTGTACAGCACCTGCACAGCACAGGTACCACTCACTGTACAGCACCTGCACAGCACAGGTACCACTCACTGTACAGCACAGGTACCACTCACTGTACAGCACAGGTACCACTCACTGTACAGCACAGGTACCACTCACTGTACAGCACAGGTACCACTCACTGTACAGCACAGGTACCACTCACTGTACAGCACCTGCACAGCACAGGTACCACTCACTGTACAGCACAGGTACCACTCACTGTAAAGCACCTGCACAGCACAGGTACCACTCACTGTACAGCACCTGCACAGCACAGGTACCACTCACTGTACAGCACAGGTACCACTCACTGTACAGCACAGGTACCACTCACTGTACAGCACCTGCACAGCACAGGTACCACTCACTGTACAGCACCTGCACAGCACAGGTACCACTCACTGTACAGCACAGGTACCACTCACTGTACAGCACAGGTACCACTCACTGTACAGCACCTGTACAGCACAGGTACCACTCACTGTACAGCACAGGTACCACTCACTGTACAGCACCTGCACAGCACAGGTACCACTCACTGTACAGCACAGGTACCACTCACTGTAAAGCACCTGCACAGCACAGGTACCACTCACTGTACAGCACCTGCACAGCACAGGTACCACTCACTGTACAGCACCTGCACAGCACAGGTACCACTCACTGTACAGCACAGGTACCACTCACTGTACAGCACAGGTACCACTCACTGTAAAGCACCTGCACAGCACAGGTACCACTCACTGTACAGCACCTGCACAGCACAGGTACCACTCACTGTACAGCACCTGCACAGCACAGGTACCACTCACTGTACAGCACAGGTACCACTCACTGTACAGCACAGGTACCACTCACTGTACAGCACCTGCACAGCACAGGTACCACTCACTGTACAGCACAGGTACCACTCACTGTACAGCACAGGTACCACTCACTGTACAGCACCTGCACAGCACAGGTACCACTCACTGTACAGCACAGGTACCACTCACTGTACAGCACCTGCACAGCACAGGTACCACTCACTGTACAGCACCTGCACAGCACAGGTACCACTCACTGTACAGCACAGGTACCACTCACTGTACAGCACAGGTACCACTCACTGTACAGCACCTGCACAGCACAGGTACCACTCACTGTACAGCACCTGCACACAGCACAGGTACCACTCACTGTACAGCACAGGTACCACTCACTGTACAGCACAGGTACCACTCACTGTACAGCACCTGCACAGCACAGGTACCACTCACTGTACAGCACAGGTACCACTCACTGTAAAGCACCTGCACAGCACAGGTACCACTCACTGTACAGCACCTGCACAGCACAGGTACCACTCACTGTACAGCACCTGCACAGCACAGGTACCACTCACTGTACAGCACAGGTACCACTCACTGTACAGCACAGGTACCACTCACTGTAAAGCACCTGCACAGCACAGGTACCACTCACTGTACAGCATCCCTCCCTTCGCTCTCTCCATCCCTCTCTCTGCTCTCAGTCTCGCTACCTGTGGCTCTCTCTCACTCCCTCCCTCCCTCTCCTCTCTCTCTCTCCCTCTTGCGCGATCTCTCTCGCTGCCGGTCGCTCTCTCTCACCCTAGCACCCTCCCTCCCTCTCTCTCTCTCTCGCTCTCCCTCTCTGCTCTCTCTCGGCTCTTAGTGGTCTCTCTCACTCCACTCCCCTCGCCCTCGCTCTTCTCTCCCTCTCGCTCTCATCTCCTCTCCCACTGCTCTCTCTTCGCTCTCACTCCCTCCCCTCCCTCCCTCTCTCTCTCTCCCTCTCTGCTCTCTCTCTCTCTCTTGTCTCTCGCAACTCGGACCCTCAATTCCCACCCTCTCTCTCGTCTCTCTCCTCTCTGCTCTCTCTCGCGCCTCTCTGTCGCTCATCACGTCCCTCCCTCTCTCTCTCGCTCTCTCTCCCTCTCTCTGGCACTCTTCTCGCTCCAGGTCTCTCTCACGCCCTCCCCTCCCTCTCTCTCTCGCTCCCTCTCTGCTCTCTCTCTCTCTCTGGTCTCTCTCACTCCCTCCCCTCCCTCCCTCCCTCTCTCTCTCTCTCTCTCTCCCTCTCTGCTCTCTCTCTCTCTCTCTGGTCTCTCTGGTCTCTCTGCTGCTCTCTCTCACTCCCTCCCCTCCCTCTCTCTCTCCCTCTCTGCTCTCTCTCGCTCTCTGGTCTCTCTCACTCCCTCCCTCCCTCTCTCTCTCTCTCTCTCTCCCTCTCTGCTCTCTCTCTGCTCTCTCTCTCTCTCTCTCCCTCTCTCTCCCTCTCTCTCACTCCCTCCCTCTCCCTCCTCTCCCTCTCTGCTCTCCCTCTCTCTCCCTCTTACTGCTTCGTCTCTCTCTCTCTCTTCCTCTCTCTACCTCTCTGCTCTCTCTCCTCTCTCTCTCTCTCTCTCCCTCCCTCCCTCCCTTCTCTCTCTCTCTCTCTCTCACTCCTCCCTCTCTCTCTCTCTCTCTCTCTCTCTCACTCCCTCCCTCTCTCTCTCTCTCTACTCTCTCTCTCTCTCTCTCTCCTCTCTCCCTCCTCCCTCTCCTCCCTCTCTCTCTCTCTCTCTCTCCCTCCCCCCTCTCTCTCTCTCTCTCTCTCTCTCCTCTCTCTCTCACTCCCTCCCTCCTCTCTCTCTCTCTCCTCTCTCTCTCTCTCTCTCTCTCTCTCTCTCTCTCTCTCTCACTCTCTCTCTCTCTCTCTCTCTCTCTCTCTCTCTCTCTCTCTCTCTCTCTCTCTCTCTCTCTCTCTCTCTCTCTCTCTCTCTCCCTCCCTCCCTCTCTCTCTCTCTCTCTCCTCTGCAGGTCCTTGTCACTAACCTGGACTTCCACGATGAGCAGAAGAGACAGAATCTGAGCAGCACTCTGCAGGAGCTGCTGAGGATGAACATCGTGCCCATCATCAACACTAACGACGCCGTGGTGCCCCCCCCGGAGCCCAACAGCGACTTACAGGGGTAAATGTGGGTACAGACAGCAGAGGGAGGGGGGGGTAAATGTGGGTACAGACAGCAGAGGGAGGGGGGGGGTGGTGGAGGGTAAATGTGGGTACAGACAGCAGAGGGAGGGGGGGAGTAAATGTGGGTACAGACAGCGAGGGAGGGGGGGAGTAAATGTGGGTACAGACAGCAGAGGGAGGGGGGGTAAATGTGGGTACAGACAGCAGAGGGAGGGGGGGTAAATGTGGGTACAGGACAGCAGAGGGAGGGGGGGTAAATGTGGGTACAGACAGCAGAGGGAGGGGGGGGTAAATGTGGGTACAGACAGCAGAGGGAGGGGGGGTAAATGTGGGTACAGACAGCAGAGGGAGGGGGGGGAGTAAATGTGGGTACAGACAGCAGAGGGAGGGGGGGAAAGATAAATGTGGGTACAGACAGCAGAGGGAGGGGGGGGGGTAAATGTGGGTAACAGACAGCAGAGGGAGGGGGGGGTAAATGTGGGTACAGACAGCAGAGGGAGGGGGGGGGGGGTAAATGTGGGTACAGACAGCAGAGGGAGGGGGGAGTAAAATGTGGGTACAGACAGCAGAGGGAGGGGGGTAAATGGGGTAAATGTGGGTACAGACAGCAGAGGGAGGGGGGGGGGGGTAAATGTGGGTACAGACAGCAGAGGGAGGGGGGGGTGGTAAATGTGGGTACAGACAGCAGAGGGAGGGGGGGGGGTAAATGTGGGTACAGACAGCAGAGGGAGGGGGGGGGGGGGGCGTAAATGTGGGTACAGACAGCAGAGGGAGGGGGGGGTAAATGTGGGTACAGACAGCAGAGGGAGGGGGGGTAAATGTGGGTACAGACAGCAGAGGGAGGGGGGGTAAATGTGGGTACAGACAGCAGAGGGAGGGGGGGGGGTAAATGTGGGTACAGACAGCAGAGGGAGGGGGGGGGGTAAATGTGGGTACAGACCGCAGAGGGAGGAGGGGGTAACATGTGGGTACAGACAGCAGAGGGAGGGGGGGGGGGTAAATGTGGGTACAGACAGCAGAGGGAGGGGGGGGGGTAAATGTGGGTACAGACAGCAGGGGGAGGGGGGGGTAAATGTGGGTACAGACAGCAGAGGGAGGGGGGGTAAATGTGGGTACAGACAGCAGAGGGAGGGGGGGGGGGGTAAATGTGGGTACAGACAGCAGAGGGAGGGGGGGGGTAAATGTGGGTACAGACAGCAGAGGGAGGGGGGGTAAATGTGGGTACAGACAGCAGAGGGAGGGGGGGGGGGTAAATGTGGGTACAGACAGCAGAGGGAGGGGGGGGGTAAATGTGGGTACAGACAGCAGAGGGAGGGGGGGTAAATGTGGGTACAGACAGCAGAGGGAGGGGGGGTAAATGTGGGTACAGACAGCAGAGGGAGGGGGGGTAAATGTGGGTACAGACAGCAGAGGGAGGGGGGGTAAATGTGGGTACAGACAGCAGAGGGAGGGGGGGGGTAAATGTGGGTACAGACAGTAGAGGGAGGGGGGTAAATGTGGGTACAGACAGCAGAGGGAGGGGGGGTAAATGTGGGTACAGACAGCAGAGGGAGGGGGGGTAAATGTGGGTACAGACAGCAGAGGGAGGGGGGAGTAAATGTGGGTACAGACAGCAGAGGGAGGGGGGGGGGGGTAAATGTGGGTACAGACAGCAGAGGGAGGGGGGGGGGGGGTAAATGTGGGGTACAAACAGCAGAGGGAGGGGGGGTAAATGTGGGTACAGACAGCAGAGGGAGGGGGGGTAAATGTGGGTACAGACAGCAGAGGGAGGGGGGGGTAAATGTGGGTACAGACAGCAGGAGGGAGGGGGGGGGTAAATGTGGGTACAGGACAGCAGAGGGAGGGGGGGGGGTAAATGTTGGTTAAAGACAGTAGAGGGAGGGGGGGGGTAAATGTGGGTACAGACAGCAGAGGGGAGGGGGGGTAAATGTGGGTACAGACAGCAGAGGGAGGGGGGGTAAATGTGGGTACAGAGAGTAGAGGGAGGGGGGGTAAATGTGGGTACAGACAGCAGAGGGAGGGGGGGTAAATGTGGGTACAGACAGCAGAGGGAGGGGGGGTACATGTGGGTAGAGACAGCAGAGGGAGGGGGGGGTAAATGTGGGTACAGACAGCAGAGGGAGGGGGGGGGTAAATGTGGGTACAGACAGCAGAGGGAGGGGGGTACATGTGGGTACAGTGTGGATATAGTCATTTATATAGAGCACATATATGTATCAAGTAGGCTGTTTTTCTTCTTCACACATTCTCTATATTCTAAGTTTAAGTTCAAAACACAAAATATTAACAGACATTGTCACGCCTGTCTCAGCTGTTGATAATAACGTTCATTTATCCTTCTGTGGGCTTTTTCAAAATGGCCGTGAGGCGGGAAAATGTGAAAAAACGCATTGAGTTAGCTGCAAGAACCCCAATAATTTAGAGTGCCTTCAAAAGTCCACAGCGGCTAAACTAGACTGGTCCAAAAAACATCCTCCTCTCAGGATCGACAGCATCTGGAACGGAGCTTTGGACCAAGAGCCACTTTTGGTCCATCCTGTAAAGACGTTTTCTAGAGAAAAGAAGGCGGAATACAAAAGCGCTGGGTAATTCTCTTTCCGGGTACACCCCCACCGGCCCGCAGTGAGATTGCAGCATGTCAGGGCACGTGCTTATGGATCTTTTGAAGCCAGAACCCGCCCACACTGCATCTATGTATATTTTTATCCGTGTTTTTATTCATACTACTTTATTAAAACCTCTGTAGGACTTTCAGGGCGCTACAGATTAGTGCAGTGAAGGTTGAGGAAACGAGGAAGCTCTTACATAACACAAAGAACCCGTAGAAACCGTAGTAAATATAACAAACTACCTATTCATGCCTAAACTTAAACCATCTTACTCAGACCACCTTAACCCTAACCTTAACCATCTTACTCAGACCACCTTAACCCTAACCTTAACCATCTTACTCAGACCCACCTTAACCCTAACCTTAACCATCTTACTCAGACCCACCTTAACCCTAAACCTTAACCATCTTACTCAGACCACCTTAACCCTAACCTTAACCATCTTACTCAGACCCACCTTAACCCTAACCTTAACCATCTTACTCAGCACCACCTTAACCCTAACCTTAACCATCTTACTCAGACCCACCTTAACCCTAACCTTAACCATCTTACTCAGACCCACCCCTTAACCCTAACCTTAACCATCTTACTCAGACCACCTTAACCCTAACCTTAACCATCTTACTCAGACCCACCTTAACCCTAACCTTAACCATCTTACTCAGACCACCTTAACCCTAACCTTAACCATCTTACTCAGACCACCTTAACCCTAACCTTAACCATCTTACTCAGACCACCTTAACCCTAACCTTAACCATCTTACTCAGACCCACCTTAACCCTAACCTTAACCATCTTACTCAGACCACCTTAACCCTAACCTTAACCATCTTACTCAGACCACCTTAACCCTAACCTTAACCATCTTACTCAGACCACCTTAACCCTAACCTTAACCATCTTACTCAGGACCACCTTAACCCTAACCTTAACCATCTTACTCAGACCACCTTAACCCTAACCTTAACCATCTTACTCAGACCACCTTAACCCTTACCTTAACCATCTTACTCAGACCCACCTTAACCCTAACCTTAACCATCTTACTCAGACCACCTTAACCCTAACCTTAACCATCTACTCAGACCACCTTAACCCTAACCTTAACCATCTTACTCAGACCACCTTAACCCTACCTTAACCATCTTACTCAGACCCACCTTAACCCTAACCTTAACCATCTTACTCAGACCCACCTTCACCCAACAACCTTAACCATCTTACTCAGACCACCTTAACCCTAACCTTAACCATCTTACTCAGACCACCTTAACCCTAACCTTAACCATCTTACTCAGACCACCTTAACCCTAACCTTAACCATCTTACTCAGACCCCCTTAACCCTTACCTTAACCATCTTACTCAGACCACCTTAACCCTTACCTTAACCATCTTACTCAGACCCACCTTAACCCTAACCTTAACCATCTTACTCAGACCACCTTCACCCTAACCTTAACCATCTCACTCAGACCACCTTAACCCTAACCTTAACCATCTTACTCAGACCACCTTAACCCTAACCTTAACCATCTTACTCAGACCACCTTAACCCTAACCTTAACCATCTTACTCAGACCACCTTAACCCTAACCTTAACCATCTTACTCAGACCACCTTCACCCTAACCTTAACCATCTCACTCAGACCACCTTAACCCTAACCTTAACCATCTTACTCAGACCACCTTAACCCTAACCTTAACCATCTTACTCAGACCACCTTAACCCTAACCTTAACCATCTTACTCAGGTTACCACCTTAACCCTAACCTTAACCATCTTACTCAGACCACCTTCACCCTAACCTTAACCATCTTACTCAGACCACCTTAACCCTAACCTTAACCATCTTACTCAGACCACCTTAACCCTAACCTTAACCATCTTACTCAGACCACCTTAACCCTAACCTTAACCATCTTACTCAGACCACCTTAACCCTAACCTTAACCATCTTACTCAGACCACCTTAACCCTAACCTTAACCATCTTACTCAGACCACCTTAACCCTAACCTTAACCATCTTACTCAGACCACCTTAACCCTAACCTAACCATCTTACTCAGACCACCTTAACCCTAACCTTACCATCTTACTCAGACCACCTTAACCCTAACCTTAACCATCTTACTCAGACCCACCTTAACCCTAACCTTAACCATCTTACTCAGAGACCACCTTCACCCTAACCTTAACCATCTTACTCAGACCACCTTAACCCTAACCTTAACCATCTTACTCAGACCACCTTAACCCTAACCTTAACCATCTTACTCAGACCACCTTAACCCTAACCTTAACCATCTTACTCAGACCACCTTAACCCTAACCTTAACCATCTCACTCAGACCACCTTAACCCTAACCTTAACCATCTCACTCAGACCACCTTAACCCTAACCTTAACCATCTTACTCAGACCACCTTAACCCTAACCTTAACCATCTTACTCAGACCACCTTCACCCTAACCTTAACCATCTCACTCAGACCACCTTAACCCTAACCTTAACCATCTTACTCAGACCACCTTCACCCTAACCTTAACCATCTCACTCAGACCACCTTAACCCTAACCTTAACCATCTTACTCAGACCACCTTAACCCTAACCTTAACCATCTCACTCAGACCACCTTAACCCTAACCTTAACCATCTTACTCAGACCACCTTAACCCTAACCTTAACCATCTTACTCAGACCACCTTAACCCTAACCTTAACCATCTTACTCAGACCACCTTAACCCTAACCTTAACCATCTTACTCAGACCACCTTCACCCTAACCTTAACCATCTCACTCAGACCACCTTAACCCTAACCTTAACCATCTTACTCAGACCCACCTTAACCCTAACCTTAACCATCTTACTCAGACCACCTTAACCCTAACCTTAACCATCTTACTCAGACCACCTTAACCCTAACCTTAACCATCTTACTCAGACCACCTTAACCCTAACCTTAACCATCTTACTCAGACCACCTTAACCCTAACCTTAACCATCTTACTCAGACCACCTTAACCCTAACCTTAACCATCTTACTCAGACCCACCTTAACCCTAACCTTAACCATCTTACTCAGACCACCTTAACCCTAACCTTAACCATCCTACTCAGACGCCTAAAACTTAACCAGTCACCACTTAAGGACTTATTAGTCTAAAACTAATACGAAAACAGGATTGTTACTTCCGGTTTTGTCCCGATTCCGTTTATGATCTAGTGCCGACCCGGCTGCCTCCAGAACCGTGTGATATGAATAAAGGCGTGTTGTTTGTCAGTTTGGCTCTGTATCAGTCACTCCTCTGTATCTGCAGGTGATCAGCATTAAAGACAACGACAGCCTGGCGGCGCGCCTGGCCGTGGAGATGAAGGCCGACCTGCTCATCGCGCTCTCTGATGTTGAAGGTTTGTGGGTTACTATGGAAACGCATACGCTGAAATGCCATATGCCTGACTGCCACCCTCTGTGTTAAATACGGCCGCTTCAATTCTACTCATTGATCAAAAAACACACATGTATCCAAAGATTAATCAAACATTCAAATATAGACAAATCCTTTCTGTGGTTTAAATATATTATTGTGTGCACAGAATGGGAAAGGGAGAATATATCCTGCATGTTAAAGTGATATAAGAGGATTTTTCCCACATTTTAGGAAAGAACCGCCCTCTCCACTTTTTGAACAAAACTCTCTGGTCTTATTTGATGAGCACGTGTCAGCAGAATGATTGACAGTTGGTATAATACTGTGTTCCCCAACCTTTTTGAGCCGTGACACCTTCTCCATTGAAAGAAATCATGGGTCACACCAGCAGCTAAACTGTTGCAAACAATTACATCACAATCACTTAATTAACAGTGCATTTTCATCCAAGTGTATTGAATAACCAAACATGCACAGAAAAAACATATTTGTTATCTTCTGACGTTATTTTCTTCCAATGTTTTTTGTTTTGTTTTGACTATTTAGGTAAATTTGGATAATTTCCAAAAGCACACTCGACAAAATTTCAAGGCACGCTTTCTGGCCCTGGCACACTGGTTGAAAAACACTGGTATAATATTCGTGATGATCCACCCAGAAGTAAAAAATCCTCCTAAATACCTTTAAGTTCAATTAAATTCAATTTATTCTTGTATCGCACTAAATTACAAAAGTATATTATTATTCTGTAATACACCACTAGGGGCTCTGTCAGGAGCAGACTCGTCTCCATGTGTTGATGCTTGGCTTGTTCAGGACCAAAGCTGAAGGATTATACTGTTTGTACATGTTTTTAGTGGTAGGGGAAACCGTAGCACCTGGAGGAAACCTATACAGACACGGAGAACATGCAAACTGACCGGGATATGAACCCAGGACCTTCTCCACCAGCCAACATTCATCAAAAACTGCCATCTTGGAGTTGTCAGCACATAGATATTTTCAGCTGAGATGTGTTTGCAAATGTAACCTGCATTATCAATAAAATACTTAATTATTATTTTTATTATTTTTTATTATTCACTTTGTTGTTTTGTGTTGTGTGTGTGCGTCAGGACTTTACAACAGCCCCCCAGGGACTGACGACTCAAAGCTCATCGACATCTTTTACCCCGGAGACCAGCAGTCAATCACCTACGGCACCAAGTCCAGAGTGGGGATCGGAGGGATGGAAGCAAAGGTACAAAGTGTTTTTTAGAGTCAATAATGAGGATGAATAATGTTAATGAGTAATGGTTGTTGCAGGTGAAAGCGGCTCTCTGGGCGCTGCAGGGCGGGACCTCCGTGGTCATCGCCAACGGTACCCACCCCAAAGTGACGGGGCACGTGATCACAGACATCGTGGAGGGGAAGAAAGTGGGAACGTTCTTCTCCAAGATCAAACCAGCAGGTGATGTCTGCAGGAGTTACAGATGGTTTTAGTAGCTCACCGATCATGATGCCTTCAGGACGCTGCTAAAAGCTCAGGTCCAGTCTCGGTCCAGTCTCGGTCCAGTCTCTGTCCTGTCTCTGTCCAATCTCTGTCCAGTCTCTGTCTCTGTCCAGTCTCTGTCCAGTCTCTGTCCAGTCTCTGTCCAGTCTCTGTTCGGTCTCTGTTCGGTCTCTGTCCAGTCCCTGTCTCTGTCCAGTCTCTGTCCAGTCTCTGTTCGGTCTCTGTTCGGTCTCTGTCCAGTCTCTGTCCGGTCTCTGTCTAGTCTCTGTCTAGTGTCTGTTCGTTCTCTGTCTAGTCTCTGTTCGGTCTCTGTCCAGTCTCTGTCCAGTCTCTGTCTCTGTCCAGTCTCTGTCCAGTCTCTGTCTCTGTCCAGTCTCTGTCCAGTCTCTGTCTCTGTCCAGTCTCTGTCCAGTCTCTGTCCAGTCTCTGTTCGGTCTCTGTCCAGTCTCTGTCTAGTGTCTGTTCGTTCTCTGTCCGGTCTCTGTCCGGTCTCTATCCAGTCTCTGTCCGGTCTCTGTTCGGTCTCTGTCCGGTCTCTGTCCAGTCTCTGTCCGGTGTCTGTCCGGTCTCTATCCAGTCTCTGTCCGGTCTCTGTTCGGTCTCTGTCCAGTCTCTGTCCGGTGTCTGTTCGTTCTCTGTCCGGTCTCTGTCCGGTCTCTGTCCGGTGTCTGTCCGGTCTCTGTCCGGTCTCTATCCAGTCTCTGTCCGGTCTCTGTTCGGTCTCTGTCCGGTCTCTATCCAGTCTCTGTCCGGTTTCTGTCCAGTCTCTGTTCAGTCTCTGTCCAGTCTCTGTTCAGTCTCTGTCCAGTCTCTGTTCGGTCTCTGTCCGGTCTCTGTTCAGTCTCTGTCCAGTCTCTGTTCAGTCTTTGTCCAGTCTCTGTCCGGTCTCTGTTCAGTCTCTGTCTGGTCTCTGTCTAGTCTCTGTCCGGTCTCTGTCCAGTCTCTGTCCGGTCTGTGTCCGGTCTCTGTCTGTCGAGAACTTTGCATTTTAAATTCATTAGTTTTTTCTAATCTCTTCTGTATTTTTTTTGCAAGTCTTGTCTGTTGTTGTTTGTCTGTGTTTCTTGTTCTGGACAAAAGTTTTTTTATTTATTATAAAGAAATGATGATGATGATGATGAGTGGTCTTTGAGACAGGGGTGAACTCTGACATCGAACAAAACATGTTTTCTCACGTAGATTTAAACTTTCATGTGAGACAGGCCTCCTCTCTGACAATGTTTAAAACCAGGTTAAAGACAGTTCTGTTTAACTGTGCTACAACTGAGGGATTTTATATTTTTATCTTTCTTTTTAATGTTCTGTGATTATTTATGATTTTAATGCTTTCTTGTCTTGTTCAGCACTTTGAGTTGCCTTGCGTATGAATTGTGCTATACAAATAAACTTGCCTTGCCTTGCATGTGTGACTCAGGTCCCACTGTGGAGCATCAGGCTGAGATGGCCCGGAGCTCTGGAAGGAAGCTGTCCTCTTTGGCCCCAGACCAGGTACGGACCAGTCTGTGTTTACAGCCTAATGTATTGTACCGTCTCTCTTAACCATTCTTACGCCAACAATTTACCGATATCCCAAACATTTATGTCATTTACACTAGAAAAAAACAAGAAGTGGTTTGGTGAATGTTTGAATATCTGTCTTATAAAACAAATCCATGAAATGTGACTCTAAATACAACATCTTTCATGGGCTGGCACGGTGGCTGAGTGGTTAGCCCTCTCGCTTCTCTGCAAAAAAGGGTTTTAATCCCGGTCGGAACAGGGCCTTTCTGAGTGGCGTTTGCATGTTCACCCCGAGTCTGCGTAGGTTTCCTTCAGGTGCTCCGGTTTCCCCTACCACTAAAAAACATGCACAATAGGTCTGAATGTAACGAGTGAGTGAATGGATGGTGTTTGGTCGGAGGCTTTGATGGACCAGTGTGTTCGGCGACTCACTTCCGTCATCACCGTGTGTGGAGAGAATGGATTAATATCTGAACTCTGAATGATTGTAAAGCGCTTTGGGTGACCTTGGTCATTAAAATGCGCTATATAAATAAACAGTACTTACTTACTTACATACAGAATAGTAATTTCACATTGATAAAAAGAGTGGCTGTATATTTACCCCTTTTATCATACACTTCAAAGCATCTGCAGTGAATGTGAGGAGCACAATGCAGCTGAACTTACTGTAGCCTGCACAAAGACACTGCCCTCTTGTGGATACTCTGGCTCACTGCTGTCCACTTGTGTTGTCAGCGGAGTGAGATCATCTGCCAGTTAGCCGCGCTGCTGACAGAGAGGGAGGACCAGATCCTGGCTGCCAACAAAATGGATGTGGAGTTGGCCGTCACCACAGGTCTGTCCCTGTTCCTCTGACAGCTGTGCACAGATAGACTGGCATCGAGCAGTCGGGCCCCGCTTTGCCAGAGACTTCTGCAAACTACTTTTTATTTAGCCTCATACTGCAGCCCTAATTGGAAAAGTTTCTCACTACGACTGTCTCCTATGTTTTCACGGTGTCATGTAAGGCCTGGTCAAATTCAGAAACTCAAAAACTACATAAAAGTAGTAGAAATGAAGAACTTTAATTTGTAGCTTATTACATGGTGGAAAGGAGGGAGGAGCCAAAATTCAAGACTGCAAAAATGATATGATTTAATAAACAAGAATCTAAAAAAAACTCGAAAGAATGTAAAAACACAGGAACTGAGGGCAAGGACAAAAACTACGGAGGGACTAAAATTACAAAATAAAACTAAAAATGTCGACCATTTATTTATTTACTAATTTATTCGTCCATACCATATTACATACTTACATCATGTATCTCCCCTTTACATTTGAGCAACATAAACAAATAGGAGCAGAAGAAAGACAAAAAAAAGCCTTAGAAACTCTGTCCCTGGTTTTGCAAAGACATTTTAACATTTTCACCCCCAACATGATCCGTCACACACTTAGCATTTTTCCTTTCTATTCAATAACAACAAGCTAACTGCACACTGAAGTATTTTTGTTTCTTCATATTCTGTTATCATTTTGTCCTTAAAAAAATGTAAGATCAGTGAGTGGCTCTGAGCGTTCCATAACACTGGGTAACAAAAAAATATGTTAAATATGTTTTTAAAATAGTCCAGGGTTTTCAGCTGAATTAGACTAATGTTGATGCTCTGAGTCCAAAAATGACCTTGGTTTTGCTCAATCAGGTCAGGATTTTTTGCTACAGAAATATTTGCGTAAAAAACAAATTTCTGCGGATCATCAGCTGAGAAACCCTTGACGTTTTTTCCGTTTTCCTCAAGAAATAAAAGTCAACGTATTCAAAGTCATTCAGTTTTTATTTACTCCATAAAATTTGATAAGCAGAATTCATAATAACGTAGACGTACATAATCCGTAACACTATGGCTGTATCTCACAAAGTTGACCTGAGCAAAATGCATGTGATATTCGGACTCAGAACACCAACATTAGTCTGAATCAGCTGAGAAACCCCTGACTATTTTTTGGCTGTCAACTTGTGTAATCGATCACCAAACACAGACACACACTTCTGTTCCATCGAGGTTCTTGCTAATGCAGTTGACAGCCTATAGTGTTCTCGTTATACACACAATCATGTTTTTCATCCTCATTTGATTGAGTCACTTTAAATAACCCATTCTTTTCACTTCAACATGTGTCAGGCTCTTTATTTTACTGATGTAGCTTCTTCTTAACGTCAAAATGTATTTCCATAGACACACCAGTATTCTGCCTCACAACTGGTTAAACACTAAGGAACTTCATAAAGTCATGGTTCTTGAGCGTCTTGATCTGTTGCCATGGGTCTGTGATGACACATTATTTATTGTTTACATTACAGCAATTATTGTGAGAAGAAAGACAAAAAATACAAAATTTAAATATTTTTTAAAAGAATAGAATTATAAAAAGGCTTTGCTCAGATATAAATGTATTGAATAATCTTGCCTGACAAATCTCATTGATCTCTACGTTTACTCCATAATCCCACATTTCTTGATTTGAAGTATTTGTGTGGTCGTTGTAGAAAACATGCCCCCGCCGTTGCTGAAGCGCCTGAGTCTGTCTCCGTCCAAGCTGAGCAGTCTGTCCTCGGGGCTGCGGCAGATCGCGGTGGGGGCCCAGGAGAGCGTGGGGCGGGTTCTGCGTCGCACCAGAGTGGCCCACAGTCTGGAGCTGGAGCAGGTCACGGTGCCCATCGGAGTCCTGCTCGTCATCTTTGAGGCCCGTCCCGACTGCCTCCCACAGGTTTGCACCCAACACTAACTGGGCAGGGGCCAGGACACGGGTTTGGTGGGTTCGGGTCGTCACAAAGAAAGAAAACTCCAGAGCAAAGTGAGGCCCACAGAGAGTCGATCTGTGACTGCGTACATAAACACATGACTCTGTCTCTAATATGGATGCGTTTGTGGCGTAATATAGGCCTTCTTATAAAAGCACAACAACACAATTATTATTCAACTGTTAGCTGCTCTGGCCTTGCACAGACAGACAGACAGACAGACAGACATTTCTTTGGATCCCTGTAGGAGTATTGCAGATGTCCAGTAGCAGCAGAAACACATCCATCCCAACAAACAAAACAAATAGATATTTCCGAAAATAGCTCTCAATTGTATTAAAATGCAACAGCTAGTATTGTTACCCTGGCTTTTTAAAATCATGACAAGTTTTATATCAGATTTTATCCCATCTCTAATGTTGGGACATGGTGTTCTCTTAGCTGTCATGAGGTGAATTCAAGTGATTGAAATGATCGAACGAGAATCAGATACTACAAAGAATGAAGGTAGAACTTGGGAAAACTAGTTTAATCTCGTTTAACCACTCTCATGTATTTCCCGGATCAGTTCATGTTCAGAGATGAAGTGTCAAATGTAGTAACGCGTGTCCTCCTGTAGGTGGCAGCGTTGGCCATCGCGAGTGGAAACGCTCTCTTGTTGAAGGGAGGGAAGGAAGCTGCCAACACCAACCGTGTCCTGCATCAGCTCACACAGGAAGCACTGACCATACATGGAGTCACGGACGCTGTGCAGTTGGTATTCATAATATTATTAGTATTTTTTTTGGGTCTGAAACTGATACTTGGACCCAGAGATGATGCAGATACGATACCTGTCCGAAAACTCATAGTGTCATTGGATAAAGTAAGCAAACATTTAGATACTATCTGGTCTCACTTCCTGAAAATCCTGAATTCAAGGTAATGAGATATTTCTGATAGCGGCGCTGGGTGTTTTAGACCTGGTTCTCGCCAATACCTGAATAAAGCACAGTACCAGAGCTTACTTCACTCACTGACTGCTGCCGTTTTTGATGATTTCACTGATTCTGAAGACCCACAGAATATTATGTCTTATGACTATGTGAGATATAAAACCAGATTCTGAAAGACTGGATTGTCTACCTTCATCAGCAAAAATAAGTTTGTTTCTAGCTATTTTTTATTGTCCTGTAATCCCCAGTCAAAAAGCGGGTCTCAGACAAATACATCAATGGCAGTCAATGAGCATAAAGTCTCTTCGCAAAAGGGTCAGGATTTTATAGATTTTGGAAATTAATCAGATATTTGTAAATAGAAAAGTATCAAGGACAGTATGTATTCTTGTTATGGATAACTTTCACCATCTTGGCTCTGATTTAAAACTGAATTGCATCTGAAGTTTTTATGTTAAGAATTCTGTAAAGGATTATACTGGGTAACAAAAAAATATGTTTTGAAAATAGTCCAGGGTTTTCCAGCTGAATTATACTAATGTTGATGCTCTGAGTCCGAAAATGACCTTGGTTTTGCTCAATCAGGTCCGGATTTTTTGCTACAGAAATATTTTTTTAAATCGATTCTGCGTAAAAAACAAATTTCTGCGGATCATCAGCTGAGAAACCCTTGACGTTTTTTCCGTTTTCCTCAAGAACTAAAAGTCAACGTATCCAAAGCCATTCAGTTTTTATTTACTCCATCAAATTTGATAAGCAGAATTCATAATAACGTAGACGTACGTAATCCGTAACACTATGGCTGTATCTCAAACAGTTGACCTGATAGAGACAAATGCATGTGATATTCGGACTCAGAACACCAACATTAGTCTGAATCAGTTGAGAAACCCCTGACCCATTTTTTGGCTCTCAACTTGTGTTATAGTTTCTCTCGATTGACTGAAAAGTCTGCACTGTATGATATATATCTTTGTAGTTCTGTTTTGAGTCTCTTTAAGGTCTACAGATGAGTGAATTCAAACGTCTCTGAATGGCTTGTCGCAGGTGAGCACTCGTGAAGAGGTAGAGGACCTGTGTCGACTGGACCAGCTCGTAGACCTGATCATCCCGCGGGGGTCGTCCCAGCTGGTGCGGGACATCCAGCACGCAGCCAGAGGCATCCCGGTGCTCGGACACAGCGACGGCATCTGCCACGTGTTTGTGGACGTGGAGGCGAGCGTGGAGAAAGTCCTCAAGATCGGTAAGAAACTGACGGCTGTATGTGTCCTTTTGCCCTGGGACAAAACGTGGACACTTTTGTTTTGACTCCCATTATTCTGAACCCACAGATCTTTTGAGGTATTTTTTTTTTAAGCATAGGATTGGACCATTTCTCTCAAATATTGTTGAATGTCAAGATCTGTCTGTGTTAGTGAGCACTTCCATCCCACCTCAAAGTGTGTTATACTGTACAAATGCAGGATATGGAAAGAAGGAAGGACCCACAATTCAATGCTGCAAACATAATGATTTAATAAACAAGAATCCAAAAACAAAACTTAAAAACACACCGGGACTGAAGACGAATTCAGATAAATGTTGTACTCTATGAATAAAGGCACTGTGTTGTTTTTATCCATTATTATTCTGAACTCAACTTTTACGGCATTTTTTTGCATAGAAAATAGACAATTTCTTTCAAATATTGTTCTGAAATCTGTTTTAGTGAGTTCTTCTCTTCTGCTGAGATTATCCATCGCACCTCGAATGTTTAGTTTATACTCTACATATACATATGTATACATATACACATATGTTAGTGCTCTGGTGTATTGTGTATGAATGAAAAATACGTTTGTAAAAAGTGGGAGAAAAAGTGCATATTTTTGTTCAGTGAATTTCCATATTTCCAGTCCAGGATTCTCCCAGATGAGCTGGAGTGTGGAGAGGGAAGGCTGGGGCTTCTTTGTCAGGATATATCAACAATGGTCTCTCCGGTCTCTCTCTCTCCGGTCTCTCTCTCTCTGGTCTCACTCTCCGGTCTCTCTCTCTCTGGTCTCTTTCTCTGGTCTCTTTCTCTGGTCTCTCTCTCTCTTTGGTCTCTCTCTCTGGTCTCACTCTCTGGTCTCTCTCTCTGGTCTCTCTCTCTGGTCTCACTCTCTGGTCTCACTCTCTGGTCTCTCTCTGGTCTCTCTCTCTGGTCTCACTCTCTGGTCTCTCTCTCTAGTCTCTCTCTCTAGTCTCTCTCTCTGGTCTCACTCTCTGGTCTCTTTCTCTGGTCTCTCTCTTGCTGGTCTCACTCTCTCGCTGGTCTCTCTCTTTGGGCGGCACGGTGGCTGAGTGGATAGCACTCTCGCCTCTCAACAAGAAGGTCCTGGGTTCGAATCCCGGTCGGACCAGGGCCTTTCTGAGTGGAGTTTGCAAGTTTCCTCCGGGTACTCCGGTTTCCCCTACCACTAAAAATATGTCCTGTTCGGCAACCCCGCTCCCATCTCTGTGTGGAGTGAGAGGACAAATGCCCAAAAAAATAGTAATAATTGTAAACCGCTTTGTGACCCTTGTCTGTGAAAGGCGGTATATAAATAAACATTACTTACTTACTCTCTCTGGTCTCTCTCTCTGGTCTCTTTCTGGTCCCTCTCACTCTCTGGTCTCACTCCCTGGTCTCTCTCTCTCTCTCACTCTCTGGTCTCTCTCTCTGGTCTCACTCTCTAGTCTCTCTCTCTAGTCTCTCTCTCTGGTCTCTCTCTCTGGTCTCTCTCTCTCTGGTCTCTCTCTCTGGTCTCTCTCTCTCTCTCTCTCTGGTCTTTCTCTCTGGTCTCTCTCTTTCTGGTCTCACTCTCCGGTCTCTTTCTCTCTGGTCTCTCTCTCTGGTCTCTCTCTGATCTCTCTCTCTCTCTCTCTGGTCTCTCTCTCTGGTCTCTCTGGTCTTTCTCTCTGGTCTCTCTCTTTCTGGTCTCACTCTCCCGTCTCTCTCTGGTCTCTCTCTCTGGTCTCTCTCTGGTCTCTCTCTCTGGTCTCTCTCTCTGGTCTCTCTCTCTCTCTCTCTCTGGTCTCTCTCTCTGGTCTCTCTGGTCTCTCTCTTTCTGGTCTCACTCTCCCGTCTCTCTCTCTCTCTGGTCTCTCTCTGGTCTCTCTCTCTGGTCTCTCTCTGGTCTCTCTCTCTCTCTCTCTCTGGTCTCTCTCTCTGGTCTCTCTGGTCTTTCTCGCTGGTCTCTCTCTTTCTGGTCTCACTCTCCCGTCTCTCTCTCTCTCTGGTCTCTCTCTGGTCTCTCTCTCTGGTCTCTCTCTGGTCTCTCTCTCTGGTCTCTCTCTGGTCTCTCTCTGACCTCTCTCTCTGGTCTCACTCTCCCGTCTCTCTCTCTCTCTCCATATCTAAATTTTCCACAGGTGTCAAACCCGTCCTCAAAGGCCAGTGTAGCTGCAGGATTTCATTCCAACCCAGCAGGAGCAAACCAGTCCAGTCAACCTGAAGACCTGAGGACACGGGTGGAGTCTGCTGTGCTCCGGCTTGGTTGGAACGAAAACCTGCAGCCACCCCAGCCCTTTCCAGAACCAGTTTTTCACCTCTGATCTAAACCCTTGAAAACAGCCAGAATGTTGTGTTTTTATTTTTCCAGTGAGAGATTCTAAATGTGACTACCCAGCAGCGTGCAACTCCATGGAGACTCTGCTGATCCATCGAGACCTCCTCAGGACCCCAGTGTTCGACCAGATTATTGACAGTCTGCGCACAGAAAGGGTACCACGGTGTTTTCCATTTTATTTTCCATCTTTTTTTACTCATAGTCAAACAGCAATAACATACATTCATGCATTTATAAGTAAAAGGTGCAACTCTGTTCAATTCAACCCTTTGAAAGTTTCCTCGACCATTTTGTAGATCTCCATCCATCCATCCATCCATTTTCTTCCCCTTAATCCATTTCTGGGTCGGGGGGGTGGCAGTTAGAGCTGCACCCAGTCCACAGAGCACCAGCCCCTCACTGATCCTCCTGCAGGTGCGGCATCCACAGGAGCTGAGGTCTTTCAGTTGGGGCTTTGGGCAAAGTAGGGTTAAGTGTCTTGCCCAAGGACACAACGACAGCAGTCATCAGTGGGAGTTTGTAGATCTCCTTTGAGTCAATATTTACTTTAAAGCTGCACTAACTGACTTTGGGATTTTGAAGCCGCGGACTCGCTGGCCTCTCTCTTTCTGCTCCCCTCCCCGCACCCACGAAGCTATCGCCCCCCACACACACTCACTGTTGGGACGGAGCTAGCGTCTTCCAATATGGATAATACACGGATATGGATTTGCACGTGGATGGCGTGACCATAGAACGATAGAACCGGGAAGCGCGGAGGAACGGGGCTTTCTTTTGGATGGCTGTTTTGCTGTGTAAGCAGTAACCGGTGACGAAGACACAAAGCTTCAGGTTAGCTCCGCCGCTTGTTGTGCTAACTCAGCCGTCTATGCTAACAGGGACCTGTAGATTTCTCACAAAAGTGGGGGCTAGTGGTCCGCTGTGATTGGTCACAATCCGCGACCCCAAAACATATTCTCTTCCTTGTTTCATCAAAACTCGATCTAAAATATAATGTCACGCCAGCACAAATCTGCGCTACTTTTTTGTCAAAATGATGTATATCCCAATGCCCTACATGGACATGGATAGCATTTTCGTAATGAATACAAAAATAAAGTCAGTTAGTGCAGCTTTAAGCTTGGAATGGCAATGTACCTTTTTGGGGCATTTCACTTCGTTTTAGGCACTTTAATATCAAACTGCATCTGAACAATTTGGTAAAGGCCTAGTAATGCAAAAAAAAATAGGGGTTAAAAAAAGAGAAACATAAAAACTTTATTATTTTTTTCATTAGAGTCCTAGATTTAGAAAATCAAAAAAAATTCCCAAAAAAATTCCACTACCACTGATAATGCTGTTTCAACCACAGTTGAACCTGATGAAATCTCACACAACAAAGAGACAAAGTTAATCTTTTACTTGTTACATTGTCACAAGGAGAATGTCTTGACAGAGGCAAGGCACAGACCCTAGCCTCTCTCAGGACAAGTCTGAAGATTCACAGATGGCAAGCCCCTTTTGGTAGAACAAGACACACCTTCGTATGCAGATGGGAAAGGAAGAAACCAACACAACAAAAGACACTTAGCATATGAGCTCCCCAGACCTCCCGGTGTTTTCCTGAAGCTAAAGTGAATTACAATACAGAGCATTCAGCACATAGCCACATATGATTTACCAAAATGATAACTTAAGTTACATTCCAATATCAACCACTAAACAAAATGTACAATAGGTCTGGCATGTGCCTCCTGTACTGCCCTTGCTCTCTGTGTGGAGTGAGAGACAAATGCCCACAATTGTAAAGCGCTTTATGAAAGGTGCTATATAATTAAAGATTACTTTCTTTCTTACTTACATGTAGAAGGAGCAGCCTTTTAAAAATAATTCCTTGGGCGCTAAAGCTGTGCAGAGTCACCTCCATTTTTCATCTACTATTTTCAACTTTTTGCTGCTCAGATTTATATATGGGCGTCACTCTCGCTCATGTAGAAACCTCTGGCTCAGATGTGATATGTGTGACATCCAGGTGAAGATCCACGCCGGGCCGCGCTTTGCCTCGTTCCTGACGTTCAGTCCGTCTGAAGCCAAGTCTCTGAGGACGGAGTACGGAGACCTGGAGTGCTGCGTGGAGGTGGTGGACAGTCTGCAGGAGGCCGTGGACCACATCCACAAATACGGAAGCTCGCACACGGACGTCATCGTCACAGAGAACGGTGCGGGACTCACTGTAGTGCGAGAAAAAACACATTTACAAAATAACATGCTCTGGTTTGTAGGAATCAAAAACTTAATATTTTACGTGATTGGTCCGATAAGGATCACCTCTCTCACTGTTTGCCCGGATGCTATGATTGGATTAAGTTATTTGGTAAAAATTATATATCTATTTTTTACTATAGCATCATATATTGCTAAATCTATATTTTCTTACACCCCAAATATATTATTTAAAAGATCGGACAGTGGTTCTGCTGCGGGGCCCTTTGCTGAGGCCAATACAAGAATACGTTTTAGTTGTTTTATTCGGTGCAGGAGAAGTATTTCAGGACAAACTCTGGAAAGGTTCACATTTTACTGAAGACAATTTTGGATCTGCAGTGAAGAGCAAACAGCTGCCCTCTAGTGGCCACACCAGGTATAAACATCATTATGACATTTCCAAATGAACTGCACGGATGAGTAAAAGTAAAGTCACTTACTGTTTTCCTTCAGTTAATCCAGAGGTGAATGTGTGCTTTGCTAATGTGGCTGTTTCTCGTCTGCGTCACTGAGACAGTCCACAGTCGTTTAAACTCGTCACGGTGAATAGAAAGGATCCTGGGAAAGGATTATTTTAATAATGACTATAAACAGTACTTTAGTGTTAAACTTTAACCTTAAGTCCTTAATGACGCATTATTTCAAATGTTAAATATTCTTTCCATTATGACCGGACAGTTCTCTGAAATGTAAGAGGATGCTTTTCTTCCAGAGGACACAGCGGAGTTCTTCCTGCAGCAGGTCGACAGCGCCTGTGTGTTCTGGAACGTCAGCTCCAGGTTCTCTGACGGCTACCGTTTTGGACTGGGTTTGTTTCTTTTGTCCTTTTCCAGTTTCTTTCTCTTGTGTGTTTCTCATGTAGTTGTGCGTCTGCAGGAGCAGAGGTGGGCATCAGCACAGCCAGGATCCACGCCCGGGGCCCGGTGGGGCTGGAGGGCCTCCTCACCACCAAGTGGCTGCTGAGAGGAGAGGGCCACACGGCCTCAGACTTCTCTGATCAGGGCTCCATGAAGTACCTCCATGAGAACCTGCCCATCGGCCCCCTGGTGGCCAGTCACAGGAACAGCCACTAAATACAGGTGTAAAGAGCAGAGGCTGCTGTATAAAAGCACAGGTGTAAAGAGCAGAGGCTGCTGTATAAAAGCACAGGTGTAGAGTCCAGTTCTACCTCAGGATGTTTGATCTGAGTCACAGAGTAATAATGAGATGAACATATTTACTCCTGCAGTACGTTGCATTCTGCTGAAACCTTGTTACTTTGAATCATTTCTTAAAAGACTGTATTAAAACTATGGAGTTTTATTCATTAAAATAAATATATATTTTTTGAGCTCCGTTTCCCACACAATATTTTCGTTAAAAGATGCTCATTATCACTGTATTTCCTCTGGATACTTCCCGGTTTAATTTGATCTTTTAGAGAAAATATCTGAACTTTCTTTTTGTTTATTGTTTTTCTCATGTTCTCCTTGTTCTTATGGCGCCGAAAGCTCTTGTCAGAGTCCAAGTGTAATTGACACGCTGCCTCCTTTGAGCTCGGGGCGACAAAACAACTGCTTTTAAATGAATCTGTGGAAGTGGAATCTGATGCAGCTTGTTTTAAAACAATAAAAGTGATCACAAAGAAATGTTTGCAAACTTGCTTTGATTTTCAGCTATTTTTCACCTAAATTCATCCTTTTTTTCCCCCTTTCGTCTTTCTACTCCCACAAAGAAACACAAATTAGTCGGAAGAAGTTCTCCTGATTTGAAAAACAGACGTCTAAAAATGGTCTTTTCTACTGTTGCCCAGAGGGAATGGTGCGTTCTGGAAGTGGGGCATGCGAGATGTAAGACAATACTGCAGAGGTTTAATTATCCAGTCATCACAAATGAAAGGGAGATTCAGAGCGCGCGCTAATAATGAAATCACAGCCTCGGTGCGGATGGAGAGTGCTTTTCTTACATCTTGGAAACATCAGAAGTAGAATCTCAACATCCTTAAAAAAGCACTACTTACCCCCGCGTCTGCCGGTCCGAAGGGTTCGCAACATCAAGATCTCTGGTCCTTTTCATGTGAGAACCAAGAAGGAAGCCGGAGTTAAATGACTGGAGGTGCAAAAAGGAACATTTTAGGGACATGGGTGTTTGAAGCTGAAAACGGCAGGATCACAAACCTGCGATTCAGGTGCAAGCGCCGTTTTACTTTGAAAGAGAGTGTCTCGGTGGGCCGCGCTTAAAGGTGCCGTGTACTTTGTGAAATGTTAAGTTTACGAATGTTGGATCACAGCTTTTCTCCGGAAAGTTTGATGTCTTTGCAGCGTGCATTATTTAAACAGTAGAGTCTACATCGTGATCTGCAGGAGGTTTTTCTCTATTTACAGTTTTCTTTCAAAGCTGAGGAATGTTGTTATAGACATAGATTTTGTTGTAGACATAGAAAGAGTCTTGTAAAAGTAAAATATTGGGAGCAAATTAGACTCATCGTGCTGCTTTCTTCTGGGTCAGGTCGGAGCTGCCTCCCAAGTCCCACAGCAGCAGTCCCTTTGATCCTCCTGCAGGGGGTGGGTCCGCGGGAAGATGGCTTCTCTGTCTTCAGGCAATGTGGGGTTAAGTGTCTTGCCCAGGGACACAACAGCAGACATCAGTGGGAGCAGGTGACATGGGTCGTGGCGGGCTCGAACCCCTGACCATTGGGTTCATGGGTTTTAATGAATTGCTGTCTGGTGCACACTGGGGACTTTTTACGAATGTATTCAATGTGGTTTTAATGCAAATGGCGAAGAAATGAATCTAAATCTGGATCTGTACTTGTGGCTCTTTTTCACTTTTTTGTGGGTAAAAGTCCATAACATTGTAAAACACATTAACGGTTATTATCAAACCCCAAATTTAGATATAATCCATATTTTTGGGGGGGAAAAATGCCGAGCTACTACCCACCAGGTGTTAACCAAACTTAAACTCAAACCAGATGTTTTTTTTTTTTTTTTTACACAAATAATGCCTGAAAAATTTGTCAAAAATAATTAATTTTTATTTGGCTGAAATTAATTTTGTTTTAAGACGGACAATATTTTCTCAAATCCAGAAAAATAAGCAAATTCTCACTTGAAAAATTAAATGTTGTGCTTGTTCTTTTGACAAATCTTGTTTTGTCAAAATGTACTTGAACCAAGATACAGTGGCTGAGTGGTTAGCCCTCTCGCTTCTCAGCAAGAAGGTGAATGCCGGTCGGAACAGAGCCTTTCTGAGTGGAGTTTGCATGTTCTCCCTGTATCCACGTAGGTTTCCTCCGGGTGCTCCGGTTTCCCCTACCCCTAAAAATATGCACAATAGGTCTGAATGTAAATGAGTGAGTGAATGGATGGTGTTGGTTAGGGCTTTGACGCACCAGTAACTGAACTCTGAACTTTGTAAAGCGCTTTGGGTGACCTTGATCTGTAAAAATGCACCATAATAATAAACATGACTTACTTTTTTCAAGAATTTACTGGCTAATATTGTTTTATCTCAGTGAGCGTGGGCAGAGGGCCAGACTAGATTGTTTCTAAGGCCTTAAAGTTGAGAAATCCTGCTCTATACCGCAGCCTGTATTTCCGGAAGCTTCCAGGTCTCTTCTGTCTCTCCTGGTTTGATGATGATGATGATGATGATGATGATGCCGCTGTTGCCTGCTGTCGTCTTCAAGCTACCGTTGTCGGACTAAACCGTGACAAGGGCAAATCCTCTGACGGCCTTTAATTGGACATCACTCAAGTCTCCAAACACTTTCCACTTTTCATCTTAAGACGGCCTCAATGGCGCTCCCTGCTGGGCTCCTCTCTTCCCGAATCAATAATTAATAATCAGCGGGTTATTAATTCATGTCGATCTTTGCCAATTACGCGATCTCTAATTAACCATTTCAATAATTGATATTTGTTTCTGAAAGAGCGGTGGTATCTTGGGTTGGATGAATTATGCATGAGTAGGGTAGGGGGTTTTTTTGGGGGGGGTTTTTTTTGTTCTGGGAGAGCTTTGGATGCTTGGGGCAAGAACCAGACCACTTTGACTGGAGCCCTTTGAGTTGCCACTACTGCTGTGATGTGCATCTAACACCCTCTCCCACACTTTAACACAGGCCATCAAAGAACGCCTCAGTGTTCTTGATAATTTGGCTTTGTGTATGAGGACTTTTAAGTGTACGGAAATTCTCGTCTTGCTCCGTGCTGCTTTGTACCGTTCAGTGTTGTACTCCGCTGGTGGAAAAAAAGTTCAAATGCCCCAAAATCGTGTGCGAGAGAGAGGAAAAGAAAAAAAACTATCCCGATCCTATCCCCATAATGGTTTGATGGTGACAGCGAAATGCTCGGCTCGGAATTAAGCAAAGGCCGCTGTTGTCAGGACTTTTATTAGGATTTGATGAGGAACGAGAGGTGAGAGACCCAAAGCCACTTCTGCTTTGTGAATACATGATGAGCTGAGTCGCAGCTGTCAGACTGAAAACCGTTTTATATTTTAATCTATGCTCCCCTTTTTTATCAATTATCGTTGTGGCAGTATTTGTGATATAGGGCTTTTAATAAACAAGGAATCAATGGAATTTAACCTATTTTAAAAACGTATTATTGACAATATATTTTGATTTTTCTCCCATTTTTTCTCTGGATATCTGTCAACAGGGAGTGTGTGTGACCATTTAATGCACATTTTAAGGTATTTATGAATGGTTCAGTTAAAAGTATGTACGATGTGCTCTTAGTCTAGTCTGATAAAGTCAAGACATATTGACACTGATTACTGATGCAAACCACCTGCTGGAGTTTAGCAAGAAACAGCACAAACTCTGTATTTTTGTTGTAACCACTTTCTTTTTGTACCTGGTTTACTTGAATATATGTGGTGCTATTTTTTATTTAATTTTGAGAAGAAGATTTTTTTTTAAATCAGCTAAATTTCACTAAACAAACTGGCAACCCAAACGAGAGAAGCCTTCTGCTCTCTGATTGGATAATCTACTGAGACCTGTCCATTCTATTGGTTAGCATGAATAATTCTACTTAAATGTGACCTGTTGGGGTTAGAACACATATAAAAGGCGTAGATGGCATTTAAATTGGACATATTACATACTGTCTCTTTAAGTTGTTATTATATTTTTGTCTTGTTTTGATTGGCTGAGCCCCGAGAGTTACTTAAAGAATATATGTTATGATTAGGAACTCTGTAAAAACTATAAGTTTAAATTCATAATCTGATTCAATATTATTATTTGCTACCCAAATCGGTAGCAGTTAGCCACTAATACTGTCTTACTGTCCAGAGAGAGACCAGAGAGAGACCAGAGAGCGAGAGAGAGAGACCAGAGAGAGGCTAGAGAGAGACCAGAGAGAGACAAGAGAGACCAGAGAGAGACCAGAGAGAGAGACCAGAGAGAGAGAGACCAGAGAGAGACCAGAGAGAGACCAGAAAGAGATCAGAGCGCGAGAGAGAGACCAGAGAGAGAGACCAGAGAGAGACCAGAGAGAGACCAGAGAGAGAGACCAGAGAGAGACCAGAGAGAGAGACCAGAGAGAGGCCAGAGAGAGACCAGAGAGAGTGAGAGAGAAAGACCAGAGAGAGACAAGAGAGAGAGACAAGAGAGACCAGAGAGAGACCAGAGAGAGGCCAGAGAGAGACAAGAGAGACCAGAGAGAGACCAGAGAGAGCAAGACCAGAAAGAGACCAGAGAGAGTGAGAGAGACCAGAGAGCAACCAGAGAGAGTGAGAGGGACCAGAGAGAGACCAGAGAGAGAGATCAGAGAGAGACCAGAGAGAGAGACCAGAGAGAGAGACCAGAGAGAGAGAGACCAGAGAGAGAGACCAGAGAGAGAGGCCAGAGAGAGAGACCAGAGAGAGACCAGAGAGAGAGAGACCAGAGAGAGAGGCCAGAGAGAGAGGCCAGAGAGAGAGACCAGAGAGAGAGACCAGAGAGAGAGACCAGAGAGAGAGACCAGAGAGAGAGACCAGAGAGAGAGGCCAGAGAGAGAGACCAGAGAGAGAGACCAGAGAGAGAGGCCAGAGAGAGAGGCCAGAGAGAGAGAGACCAGAGAGAGAGACCAGAGAGAGACCAGATGCAACACCCAGAAACGATGACATCACAAATGAAACGACCAAACCAGATCATGTCCCACTTTTTGTTTATTCTACTTCTGCAGTTTTATCAATTTCTCCGCCGTTCTGTCGTGGTGGAAGTGGGAGTAAATATAAAACCCAATCACTAAATATCCATAGTTGGACACTATACCACATGTAAACGAGATGGGGTTAAAATGTAAAACGGTTGCTATGGAAACCGGAGAGAGTGCCTCAGTTGGCCTCGGTGACCCTCCTCAGGGAGCCGATGGTGGGGGAGGCGCTTCCCCATTCGCTGTGCCGCCTGTACTCCCCGGGGCGCAGGAAGTACTGGCGCCCCCTGTAGTTGGGGTGCTCGTGCAGCATCCAGTATCCCTCCATCACGTTGACGGAGGAGATGTCGCGGGTGTGAAAGCGCTCGTGGAGGTTGGGGCAGTCCTCGTTCAGCTCCATGTTCTGGCCCCCGAAGTCGGAGCGCTCAAAGATCTTCATCCTATAGTTCCCGTTGTACTGTGGACACATCAGGAGTCAGGCACTGGTTATTTTCATTGGAGTTATTTCTATGTTTAATTAATTGGACGTCTTCTGTTTCATTTTTAAATCGGGACCGTGGTGTAGGGTGGGATTGGACACAATTTCTGTTCAGTGCCCCTTCTCTTTTGTCTCTTTTGTCTTTAACCTTTCTCACACATTCACACTACCACACTGCTATAATAGTTTGACAAATAACAATGCTTCAAGTAGCAATATGTAAGATTTTCATGTCAAGTCATCATTAAAGGGCCCTAATCTGTCATAATTAAAGGGCCCTAATCTGTCATAATTAAAGGGCCCTAATCTGTCATCATTAAAGGGCCCTAATCTGTCATCATTAAAGGGCCCTAATCTGTCATCATTAAAGGGCCCTAATACTGTCATCGTTAAAGGGCCCTAATCTGTCATCATTAAAGGGCCCTAATCTGTCATCATTAAAGGGCCCTAATCTGTCATCATTAAAGGGCGCTAATCCAATACTTCTTTAACTGATAACAGTAGTAAATCTAACAATGTTACTGTTTTCATTTCGATGTCCCGCCCTCCACCGCGTGGAGCTAATCTCACTGGTAAAGTACCATGTGGCGCAGAACTAAAAAAGGTCTCGTTATGATTCTCAAATCATTAACGACAAAACAAGGAATAAAACCAGGATTTCTAAATTTGTGAAAAAGGTGTTGGTTATAGATTTGTTGTTGACAAAACTCTTGTCTATTCAGCTGTTATGGTCCCAGCTGGATTCGTCTGCATATCTGGCAACCTGAGTCAGGGAGAGTGGGAGAGGCTGCAGTACCACTTTTGGCCACATGTTTACAAACTGCTCCTTTAATATTGGGGATGGATATGAATTTGTTTGAATGATTGAATGATTCGTTCTAACTTGGTCACATCTCTGTCTAATATTCGTTATAACTTAATTATGAAACACTGATAAAAGATCAACCACAGACATGTTTTGGACTTACTGGAGGCACCATGCGGCAGGAGCGGATGCAGTCGTTGAAGCCGGACCAGCGCTGGTACTCGGGGTACTCGCCCTTGGGTAGCATGTACTGGTACCCAGAGTAGTTGGGCTTCTCGTAGGCCACCCAGCACCCACTGTCCACACGGATGGAGTTACAGCGGCTGAAGTGGCCGTGCAGCTCGGGACAGTCAGTGGTGCACTCATAGTGACGCCCCTGGAAGTTCTTATCCTCGTAAAACACAATCTGGAAAAGAAAGAAAAATAATACAGTGACTTAAACGCTGGGGTACCTACCACTTTCTCACTTTAGAATGATGTATTTATTTGTTTTTATGGATGGATTTGTTTTTCTATCTATCATTTATCAAAACCTTTTGTTTGATTTTTTTTTTTACAAATCAGATCACAACATACTGACTTCATCTTTTCAGAAAACATTTGACTTTCTACATGAAGTAAGTAAGTAAGTAAGCTTTATTTATATACCGCCTTTCACAGACCAGAGTCACAAAGCGGTTTACAATTGTTATTTTTGGGAACTTGTCCTCTCACTCCACACAGAGATGGGAGCGGGGTCGCCGAACAGGAGGCGCATGCCAGACCTATTGTACATATTTTTAGTGGTAGGGGAAACCGGAGTACCCGGAGGAAACCTACGCAGACACGGGGAGAACATGCAAACTCCACTCAGAAAGGCCCTTGTCCGGCCGGGATTCGAACCAAGGACCTTCTTGCTGAGAGGCGAGAGTGCTATCCACTCAGCCACCGTGCCGCCATTGGCTGAGAGAGGGATGGTACTCCCTGTTGCACTGATAAAGCAGATGTGATAGAGCCCAAGCATATTTACTAAATTTAACCCAACAGTTTTGAGAGCAAGAAGCTAATTACATGTTTGTTTTTTTTACTTTTTTGTGTTTTCAAACTTCCAGCTTTAATTTAATCACATACTGTATCATTAGTCAACCTAGAAAAACATGCTTAAAGAAGGAATTGTCTCAAATATTGCATGTATTATTGTCTATTTTTGGTCAACCCGCTCCCTTTGGACCAATGGCTCCTACTGTATGTGTTTGTTTAATACTTCCTGAGTTCAAAGTGTTTGATTCTCTGATCTGTTGTTGGCAAATCTGCAATTTTGTAAAGTCCTCCGAGGCGACTGCTGTTGTGATTTAGCCCTATACGCAAATAGACACACTTAATTGCATTCGAGCTGAAGAGGTCATGAAGAGAATTGGGGAAGTCTTTTCTACGATTGATCCCATCACAAAATCTCACACACACAACATTGAATTAAACTCATCAATACAGTACTAACATTACTAACTATTCTTAGTTAGTAATGTTAGTAACTATTCTTACACAGTTTCTCCTTTCCCTTATTGCCCCCAGTTTGCGATAGAAGCCCTAAAGCAGCCGCACATGCCCTTACCTTGCCCATTGTCAGCGTTGAACAGTGTGGAGCAGACCAGAACCACCCGGTTTGAACGTGTGGGCTTTATAGCTGGGGCTGGGATCAGGGCCTTTTCTGCGCAGCTTTGTGGAGTCAGCACAACGCGTTCCACAGAGGCCACAGCACTATAGGAAGGTCTAAAGCTTTGTCTTTTGTCTGTCTATAGAAAAAGACTGTACGGCTGCACTTTCTGGACCAGGTGACAAAAAGACTGCCACATGTGCCTTTACTGCAGTGAATGCCAAAGAGTGAAAAGTCAAAAGTACAACAGTAGAGAAGCCTCTATCCACAATCGTTTGTCCATTGCTTATTCCACTTATTCACAAGTTACTGCAGATTTATGAAGATGTGTTTGTGCAAGGAAATGAATAATCAAATATATGTGTATATTTCTCCAATCAAAGAACAAAAACACACAAAAATCGACCCGTAATGTATGTTAAAAGCAGTTTAATAATCATTCGTACATTGGCGTTTTACATAGTCCTCATTCTTCTGAAGGAGCCCACCATGGGGTTGTGGCAGCCCCAGTCCCCGCAGGCCCTGTACTCTCCGGGCCTGAGGAAGTACTGGCGCCCCCTGTAGTTGGGGTGCTCATAGAAGATCCAGTAGCCCTCCATGATGTTGCAGGAGAAGATGTCCCTGAAGCGGAAACGGTCGTACACGTTGGGACAGTCATCCATGAACTCCATGCTCTGGCCCATCATTTCAGGCCTGTTGTAGATTCTCATTCTGTAGGAGCCTCTGTACTGTAACGGGACGGCACAGTCACATTTACAACCTGCTTAAATTTTACTTTATCCCTTAAATATTAGTCTATAGATGTGTAGTTTTATGGGCAAATAGAAGAACTGTGTGTGTCTATACTTAACACTGGTGTATCAAACCTTATTTTCTCGTAAATGTTTGGTCCCGTTAGAAATAGTAACCTGTCTCAAGCCATTTCCAACTCATTAGATCTTTTCATTTTTTGCATAATTGTAGTGAAAGGTCCCTGTGAGTTGCTATTTCTTGCTGGAAGCTGATTGGCTGACTTACATTTTTTATTTTCACTTTTCCGTCTGAAATACCAGTTGTAAAGTTGTGACAGAGGGCAGCTATACAAGCATGTCAAATCTAGTGATGGAACCAGACTGAGCTATAGGAGCTAGTTAGCTGGACATTTTTTTTGAGGTTTTTAAGTCAGGTACCCCAGCTTTAACTCCGATATTTTGAAGAAACTTGGGGGTAAAAAAAAAATCTGACTTCTTCCCTGTTTTGTACTGTACATATAACCTGTGGACGTTGACCTTTTTTATTATTATTTTTTTATGCTTTGCTCAACGTAAAACCGACTTACGGGAGGGAACATCTGGCAGGAGCGGACGCAGTTGTTGAAGCCCATCCAGGTGTGGTAGTCGGGGTACTCTCCGGGCCCCATGATGTACTGGTACCCGTTGTAGTTGGGCTTCTCGTAGGCCACCCAGTGTCCACCGCTGACCCTGATGGAGTTGCAGCAGTTGAAGTGCCTGAAAGTATCCATGCAGTCATTGCCACACTCCCACTGACGACCCTGGAAGTTACGACCCTCGTAGAAAATGATCTTGAAAGCAAAAAGAGAAACACAAGAGATGAGTTAAAGCTGCAGTACCTTTGCTTGGCCAGTAGGGGGCACTGCACTCAAGCGTAAACATCACTCAGCGTCTTCCCACTGCCTCTCTGTGAAGTGTTAGGGTGCTTGACAGTTGAAAAGCATTGGATTTTTTAATTTAAAGAACATTGTGTTGTTTCGGCCCTTCAAAATTTAACACAATTGCTGTCACGCTTGTCCATGCCAAATGGTATAGAGACATGTTAAATCTCATTGCCGGAGGATTGTCACCTAAAACAAGCTTTTAATCTGTCACTTCAAGTAATCCCCCTGCCTCTGCGCTTCAATCTGCCTGTCGTTTCAATTCAGAACCACCTATTCTAACTGCATCCAAACACGCGTCCATACCTTTCCCATGGTTGCAGGATTGTGAATCTACCGACACCAACGCACCAAAGGCCTCGCTTCCCTATTTATACCATCTCCCCCGAGCACGAGGCCTCTATGCCCACGTCACAAAGTGCTTCTTTCGGTCTTTTCAGAGGGGCTACCTTGTCTCCTGTCTGCTAGTATTTACCTATAGAAATGAAATGAACTCCATGCATGTGCTATTTTGTGTGTGGATGACCCGTGACCTTGTTATGCCTCCTTTTCAAGCGCCACACAAAAGCTCTTTGGAGATGCGGCCCCCCGGTCAAAACAAAAGAGTTTTCAAAAAGTGTACATTTCCATTTTTGTCCAAAGCCATCAAACTCTGTACTATGTCTTTTTTTGAGGGGGTAGAAGTTAGCCTGTTTGCTTTCTGCTTCTAATTGGACATGATTTGGTGGTATGTAATCTACACTGATCGCCCAACTCTTTTTCAGCTTCCATCGCCCGCAGTTGTTGCTGTGATGCCAGACGGGGCCAGCTTGTTTGCACTTTCCCGTTTGTGGTGTTTGATAGATATGAAAGCGGAGGATCTAGGGCGTTGCGTTTCGTCTCTCCGTGTGTAAAAGTCGTGGACCCCTTTGGACTCGAAAGGTGTAGCCCACAGCATTAGCGTTGGGGTAAAAAAAGGCCAGAATAGGTCACGACCATATGCATTGTTTTTTCCCCGAGCCAGCTGATGCCAGAAAGGTCGTCTTTTTTAGCCCTTTCATCCGGAGGCCCCCCTCGACACTTTTGTTTGCGTTCTGCTTCACCTCCTGTTACACGTTTGTTTGGCACAATAGTCCTTTTTATCACTGTCAAAACATAACGCAACCACTATACCCATATTTTTTTTTTTTTGCATTAAGAGAAAGCGTTGATAAGCCTCCATATCTTTGATCGTTCATTGACTCGAAACTTCAATAGTGGTTTGAAGCCTCCGACTTTCTTTCTGTGACATAAGTAGATCATTGATATTCTTTCATCACTCTACATCTTGTAATTGTGGAAGATTATCAGATGGGACGTTTTGTTGTTTTGCCACTTTCTAGCGCAAATATTTATCCTCCAAGATGTTTTTAATCAGAGCGAATACAAGAACAACTGTTTTGAATTTGCTCAGATGTGGGATTATATAAGTTTGTTGCTTTTATTCTCGTGTTTTTCGATGCCTGGTCTCTGTCAGCGGTGCAGAGGATACAGGCTTATGTGATGGAGAACAGAGAATGAGTCTGGCAACAAGAGGTGCCACTCTGTCGTACTTTTACCCACTACTTTGGTCATTTGTTGAAGGGGAAAAAAATACATGTGCTGGTTTATTCATGAAACTAATATTCTAATTACACTTTACATTTGGGAACAGTGTGGTGTACATCCTAAGTGCAGATTTTGTGTTTTTGTCAAAGCTGTGAATTTTCTAAAAGTCCTCTAAGAACTGAAGGGATTGGTCTGGACTGGACTGGACTAACATTTGATTACATTTATAGACCTAAACTTATTGACATTTATGGACGCTGGTTTTCCCGCTACAATGGACCAACGGCTGCATGTTTTTTCATTGAATATCCTGCGTTTTAATTGCTTCTGATTTTTAGATTGAGCGATACTTTAATCGTTCTACTGTAGAGAAATTTCAGTGTTGCTTCGCCGGGTTACAGAACAGTAGGACTGAGTAGCACACAGCACAAGTTACATGAACAAAAACTCTATATTAGGGGTCTCCAACCTTTAGCTCAGGGGTTACCGGTAGCTCACCACCCCCTCCAAGGTAGCTCCCCAAAGGATTTAGAATTTATCACATGACATTTTGAGAGATTACAAGTATGAACATAGGGTCATGCAGTGTTATTGTATATTTCACGTTATTACTTGAGTATAAAATCTCTACCTTTTAGTAAAAACAAGAAGCTATTTCTAATCTGTTGTTGGCAAATTAACAACTGTGTAATGTCCTCTCCGCTGACAATGATTGCGATTCATGGCTAAACACAAATACATTGAATTGGATTGTTTTGAAATAGTTTTTTATTGTACATTTCAAAAACAAAATCACACAACCTCACTTTTTAATTAGCTTATTTTAAGATATTTTTCTGATCGTATATTCCACTGTAGCTCTGAAAAACCAGCGATATTCTTAGACCGACGTGAATTTTTCTTTCTTACACACGTGCGTTAACTTCAACCACATTTTTCTCCCTTCCAACGATCATCTCTCGCTCCTCCACGCCACGTATTCTCCCCACCCTGAAGGGAATGGATCATCACAAAGGCCCTCTCCCGCTTCATGGCTTCCCCCTGGAGGAGAAGAAAACCCCCGCTGAGGAGAATCCCGTCTCGATCTGGAGCTGATAGAAGAAAAGGGGAAGGGGGAAAGCTCTGGCGGGGGTCGTGTCTCTGCATTGTGTCCGAGGTGGAGCTGCTGAAGTTGGGGTAATCGCAACAGAAGATGCCCCCGTGTTTGACTGCTGCTGCTGGATCACAGGAAATACCAAGGCCCCACAGAGAGAAACACAAGAGCGAGATGAAGCCAGGCAGACGATCTAAGGTTCAGGTTTGAGGATGTGTATTTATAAATCTGGAAATGACAAGGACCTAAACTACCCAGTAAAGCAGTAGAAGTAAGCCCTTACAGTACAGTAGTTCAGGGATATTTGTTTTCATTTTGATGTCCCGCCCTCCACCGTTTCACCAATCAGAAAGTCCGTGATCCGGACTCTAGATTAGATTTGACTAGATTTGTTGTTGACAAAACTCTTGTCTATTCAGATATTACGGTCGCAGCTGGATTCTTCTGCATATCTGGCAACCTGAATCAGAGAGACTGCAGTACCACTTTTGGCCAAATTTTGACATTATCGCTCCTTTAAGCAGTTCTTTGTCGTTATTTTCAACTGAGCGTTTAAACACCTCATCATATCATGTTGTAGTTAAAAGTTTCTGCTTTTTTTTGCTCCATCAGCTGTTTGTGTTCCAACATAACATTTTGCGGCCTATACGTGGACAAAAATGGCTTTCTTTTCTAATGTAGCTAGTACAGTTTGTGTACAGCTGCGCTTATTATTCCAGAACATACTTCCATCCGTTATTCCCCATGTCCCCTCCACTGACGAGGTGTGTTTGATGAAGACGTCTGGTCGTCTCTGCTCAGACTGCTGCCCCCGTGACTTAGAAACAGATAAAGCGGAAGAAAATGGATGGATTGAACTTCTATTTAGACCATGAAATAGTAAGAAATTTTTTCATGGGGGGGTTTCAGTTTGCGTACCCCCTGAAAATGGGTAGTTGGCGCAACTACCCATTTTCAGGGAGTATGCATGCTGGATATAAGTGCAAAGTAGTCATTGCACTAAATGTAAATAGTTAATCTTGTCTTATTTTGCTGAAGGCTTTGGAGGTTCTTAATTAAGCAGCTTTACATTTTTTGTATGATTAAAAAAAAGTTTTAGTGGCAGTTGCTTTACTAACAAGTTTGAAGTAGTAGTAATGGTTGTACTTTTAGGTTGCCAGAAGTTAAAACATATGAGAATAGAGTAGTAGTAGTAGTTTTATGTACTTTACCCCAGATTTAAGACTTAGATGTGACTCTTCTGAATGAGTTTGGCCTCTTCTAAGTTTGCAGAGATTGCGCCGCGTCTGGAATGTGCTCTTTTCACTCGACAACTATTACAACAAGAACACGTTTAGGAGGTTAATCTGGGGCTGAAAACATGGCACAATCGGGAAGAGGAGAAAGAAAAAAAGAAGAGAAAAACCTCCAAAACAACAAGAACATTTGGAATGGGAATGAGGAGCGATCATCCTCTGCATTCTCTGTCAGAAAATCTTCCGGCGTTGTCGCGGCTCTAGTCTTTGCCAGTCCTCGCACACTCTCCTCTATCGAGAGCACCAGACGCAGGCCGCCGCTGTGAGCCGCTGCCAGGACCAGGATTTACAGCCATGCCTGTGATGTCCTCCATCTTTCTTTGCCGAAGGATAATTAAAAGAGGAAATGGTATTGGAAGAACATAGTAGTGGAAGGAGGGGGAGGACGGAGAGGAAGGGGGGGTGTGGGGGGGGGGGGGGCCTTGGACTGTGCAAATATGTGGCTGTCAATTATACAGTTGTTTATGTCCGTGTCTGACGCCATCGGGATTTAGTTGAAAGTTTGTTGTTAGCTTGAGTCGTAATGTAATGCAATGTATGTAATTAAGACATTTAGAGGCTAACAAAGGATGGAGGAGAAATGAAAGAGAAGGAACTTTTCTTTTTTTCTTTTTGTTAGCGCCATTTTATACATACATTCTACCCATTCACATCATTAAAGGCTGAAGGAGAGTTGCTCCCATAACCAGAGGGTTGCCAGTTCAAATCCCACTTCCTTACATTCATTGCTTTTTGCCATAAAAGTTGAAATGTAGCTCAGTTGGTAGAGCATCGGCCTTTGGGCCTGAAGGTCGTGGGTTCAATTCCCACCTCTACACCTTCTCCACCGACTCCCACTGATGACTGCTGTCCTTGTGTCCTTGGGCAAGACACTTAACCCCACTTTGCCCAAAGCCCCCACTGAAAGATCAAGGCTATGCTCACACTCAGAGAGCAGCCGTCCTCCTGTGGACTCACCACCTGCAGAGGGTCAGTGAGGGGCTGGTGCTATGAGACTTGGGTGGCATCTCTGATTGCCACCCCCCTGACCCAGAAATGGATTAAAGGGTAGAAAATGGATGGATGGATGGATGGATGGATGGATGGAGTTGAAATGTTGTCATGATACAAAGTTGCAAACACACAGCTCAGAGTTCCATTGATTTTTTTAACTCTTTTAAATAAAAGATTCATTTTGTAACCAAACTGGTGATGCAGATGATATAGATATATGAAAAGTACCTCCTTTTGGTAATAAAAGCTTGTTAATTTACATATTTTTACAGATTAAGGTCACTCAAAGCTTTACAACTGTTGATAATGAAAACAATTAAACAAACAAATAGAAGTTTTATTATTTGTTTTTGTGCCCTGGGTTCAATGTTTAGACTAAAATTAATTATAGTTTAATTCTCCTTTTGATTTAGCTTTAAAATGATGTATAACAGACCACAGCTCTCTTACTATCAATGTTTGCAAGTTTTAGACTCATGTTGTGTCCTTGGGCAAGACACTTAACCTCTGGGAACAGCAGCCACAGTGGGGCGGCTGCGGCTGTAAAGTGCCAAACTGCTGTTGTGTCCTTAGGCAAGACACTTCATCCCCATTGCCTAGAATGAGTCTGGTGTGTGTGTGAATGGTTAGTGGTGGTGGGAGGGGCCGATGGCACAGACTGGTTGCCTCGCTTCTGTCAGTGTGCCCCAGGGCAGCTGTGGCTACAGTAGTAGTTTATCACCACCGTGTTTGGAGTGAAAGGACAATGACATGTGAAGCGTCTTTGAGTGCTATCTTAAACCAATGCATTATTATCAGATCCAGCCTTGCACCCCAGCCAGGGCTCTCAGGTCTGTGGATCAGAACCTCCTGATGGTTCCACGCACTCGCTTCAGGACCAGAGGAGACAGGTCCTTCCAGGCTGTTGCTCCCAAGCTTTGGAACGTTCTCCCGCTCTTTCTGCGTTCTATAGAGTCTGTTGAGTCTTTCAAAAGTCAAATAATAATAATACATACAAAAAGAATTTTACTTTCTTACTCACTTACTATTATTATATTTTCTCGTTCCCTCTGTATTACCCGCGCTTGGAGAACACCGGTCCAAATCGCTGCTTTGTCAGAGTGCCCTGGCATCCTCTCTCTGGCCGCTGCGCTCGCCGTCTCTCCTCAGTTAGACTAAAATTATTTGAGATTCAGGTCCGGGCCTGATCCGCAGTGACAGCCGGTCCTGAATGATGCCTTCACACTGATCTCCTCTCAGTGTTTTGACGTGGCGTGTCTCCTCTCTGCTCCTCTGGCTCCTCTCTGCTCCTCCACACCTGACTCCCAATAAATCCAGGTGCCTTTTAAGCCGCTGTTTTTTTGACACATGACAAAAAGTTCAGCCGCTCCGCCTCTCATCTGTGTTTTAGCGGGTTGTACTGGTTGCTCCGGAGCGGCCTGGGTAAACAGAAGGGAGCGCTTGTTTTGCTTTTGAGGTCGTTTGTGATTCTGCGATTGCCGTCTTCCAGGTTCAAGAAGGACAGCGATGGGAGATCAGTGTGCTGATGGAGATTTTGTTATTTAAAAAAGGAATAAAACATCTTTACCTGCGTTTTAATGATACTGTTAACCCTCCAGGCGCCACTTAAGTCGACAAGATGGAGTTCTGTTTAAAATGGCAGTATGGAGTGTGTCCAACGGGGTCTGGGCCATGGATCTAGGTCTGGGTCTTTTTTAGCTATTTCCATAGGAGTTCTGTTTTTGTTGAGTCTGTCTGTTTATGTCCTTGTGGTTGGCATGTCTGTCAGTTAAAGAAAAATCTGGTAAATCCATGATTGCCACCGCCGTATGACCTCATAATATCCAAATTAGACGGGTCAATTTAAACCCTACACAAACTTTGGACCATCCTTTTTATTTCTCTAATTTACAGAAAACCTTTATTTCTTATCACATTTTAGTTATAGCCTTTAGAAGTTAAAATGTCAAAAAAAAAAGTAGCGTTTTAGCAAAAAGGGTTAAAGGTGCAGTGACTTTTGGGGACGTTTTTCTACAGTTGAGGCTAAAGTAAAACAGAAACTACTGCTGTTTTTTATGTATTTGTCTAAGAAGTACAAACAGGTGATGGTAACTAACATTACCTGATTTCATGACACATTTCCACGCATCATCAGCACGGACACGTGTTTTGCAAAGGGGGCGGGGTCAAGCAGCGTGTTGCCGGGGGTAACGGGCGGTGACTCCGATGGAACAAAGTTAGTTTTACTGTGAAGTTACAACATATATATACTGTATAATTGGAGTAAAAGGTTCTGGATGCACTCGAAGTCAGGAAATGACATAGAACTTCTTCAGGGGGATAAATCCAGCCAGACCCCCACCCCAGAAATACACTTCAGGCAGTTTTTAAAGTTGAAATAACTCACATTTTTTTAAGTTTGAAGCCACGTCTATAGCTTAGTTTCGACTCAATCACAAATGGTTCAATGTCAGACCCCCCCCCCTCCCTCCTCCCCTCGTCCCCAAACACATAACTCTGTGGACATCACCCGTGGGAACTCACTGAAGCAGCTTATAAATGTAATTAATTGACACTAAAATAATGATTGTTGACACATGCTAGTATAATAATAGTTTGTTTATGCACATGTACAGGCTGGTTATATACCACTGTCTTCTCTCTCTATGGTTGAGTTTGCAGATCTGGTAGTAACTGTAGTGAACCCCCCCCCCCCCCACATGTACTGACACCTGACAGAAAGTGCTTCCTTTTTCACCTCTCGCTAAATTTCTAATCAGACACGA